GATCTCAAGTCCAAGATCGTCTTGAGTTCTCTGTAATTCGTCCTCAAAGAGGTTGGGTCCTAAGACCTTTTCTCTATGGCTGCTCAAGGCCTTTTATAAAGAAGAAGGAGGGTGTAACTACTCCCTTAAAACATGAGAAGTGACCATTCCCATACTAGGTATGGTTATGAAGAGAATCATGACCAAATCCCTCAAATCGTGGGAAGTGACTTCTCCCATGCTGGGTATGGTCATGAAGAGAATCATGACCAAATCCCTCAAATCGTGGGAAGTGACCTCTCCAATGTTGGGTATGATCATGAAGAGAATCATGACCAAATCCCTCAAATCGTAGGAAGTGACATCTCCCATGTTGGGTATAACCAATCCCTTAAATCAAGGGAAGTGACTATTCCCATGCCTCAAGTGGGCAGTCTTGGCGAGCTGGCGAGTTCGGCGAGCTGGCGAGTTCGGCGAGCTTACAGGTGTGTTCATATGTGGGCTGAATGCTCAAGCAAGCTTAACTCATGCGGGCGAGTCAAGCATGCAGGCGAGTAGGCGAACAGGCGAGCTGGCACTACAGGTGAGCCTCATAGGCGAGATGGTGCATGCAAGCTTGGCCTTTAGGTGAGCCTGGATCATGCAGGTGAGCTTCAAGCTGTTAGGCGAGCTTGGTCTTCAGGCGAGCTTAAGCCTTCGGGCGAGCTCTGCAGGCGAGGCTGTGCAGGCGAGCTCGGTCTTTAGGCGAGTTCAAGCTTTCAGGCGAGCTTGGCCTTCAGGCGAGCTAAGTCTTCGGGCGGGCGAGCCTGGATCCTGTAGGCGAGCTTCAAGCTGTCAGGCGAGCTCTGCAGGCGAGGCTGTGCAGGAGTGCTTGGTTTTCAGGCGAGCTTGGATCCTGCAGGTGAGATTCAAGCTGCCAGGCGAGCTCTGCAGGCGAGGCTGTACAGACAAGGCTGTGCAGGTGAGCTTGCCTGCAAGCCTTCAGGCGATCTTGCGGGCGAGTTTGCCTTGTGCATGCAAGCTTCAAGCATGTAGGAGAGATCCAAGTCTTCAGGCGAGCTTGCTTTTTAGGCGAGCTAAGCTCCTTAGGCGAGCTTCAAAACATGCCACGAAGAACAGGTTGTAACTTTCAAACCGTAACACATAATTGGACGAATTATATATGAAAATCATCTATCTCGATGAGACGGGCCAACCAAACACCCAAAGGGGGTTTGTCGCCTCCGTTTTGCCAAATTCCTTACGGTTTGAGAGATATCAGCGTTTCTCCCTTTTTTCTCTTTCGGGTGAGGTTTTAGCAGTCTTATTTTGAACTTCTCTGATAGAGATAAATGCAATTTTTATTGCCTACAGTGACTAACTATGAAGTGTCTCTCTCTGCCCCCGTCTCGACATAGCTGCTGAAAGGGGTCAGAAGTATACTCATTATCGTTGTTGGATCATAATGTCTTGATCTTTCTCCCAGTCTGCAGTTCTAATCTCTTTTTCTACTCCACAAATATCTCTAGGACTTCACTCTTCTTCGTCATGGTACACCCAACAACGCGTAGAATAGTCATCAACAAATATGACAAACTAATATCGACCACCAAGTGATATCGTCTTGGTGGGACCCTAAACATCTGTGTGCACGTAGTTCAAGATGCCCCTCGTTCTATGGATGACTGTCTCAAACTTCACCTTCGTCTTCTTGCCAAGAACACAGTGCTCACAGAACTCAATCTTTCCACTCTTGGCTCCCTTCAATAGCCCCTGCTTGCACAAAACCTACAATGACTTTTTTCCTATGTGCCCTAACCTGTAATACTAAAGTCTACTCATGTCCGCCTCTGAAATAGCTAAAGCTACCTGACTAACCTCGATGCTCCCCTTCAGACAATACAAGTTTTGACTACGGACTCCCTTTATTACCATCAAAGGCCACCTTGAATCCATTCGCCTCCAAAGCTCCAACTGAAATAAGATTCTTCTTCAACTGAGGAACAAATCTCACTTCATACAATTCATGAACTACTCCATCGTGCATCCAAATCCTGACAGTACTTATTCCACAAATATCACAGGATTGATCATTTCTCATGATAACAACATCCTTATCGAGTCTCTCAAATGATGCAAACCAATCTCGCCTAGGAGTCACATGATAAGTAGTGTCAGAATCAAGCATCTAATCTGATACATCTATATGGTTCACCTCCAGAGTAATCAATAGAGAAAAGATCAAATCATCAGAATCATCGACTTTCACAACATTCACCTCATTGGCCTTTGGGCCCTTCTTCTTGCTATTCTCCTTCTCCTTGAGCTTCGGCCAGTCTCTCTTCCAATGTCTATGTTCTTTGCAGAACGCACACTAGTTCTTAGTTAATTGGTGATGACCTCTTGACTTTGACCTGCTTCTATTGCCACCTCTTGGATATGGACTTCTTCCTCTCATCGACAAGGTCTCTCCTGAAGTACTAGTTCGGAAAGTCTCTTTGTCCTTCCTCCTCAAATCGTAGTTTGTCAATGTGTTAGTCACTTTATTGTAAGTGATTGAAGATCTCCCATTTAACAAAGTGAGCACAAAGGTATCATAATTCTCATCGGGTAAGGAGTCTAACAACATAATTATCTTGTACCCATTCGTTATCTTCTCATCCACGTTCGCCAAGTCCGACAATAATTTTGTATAGTTATTCACATGAGCCGCAAGCGGAGTGCCTCTGAACATCTAGAATCTGAATAATTTCCACAACAAGTACAACCGATTCTCAACACTCTTTGTAAAATACTTGATTTAAGAATCTCCCACATCTTTATCGCAGACGTCACTCCAATCACATCGTATTTCAGCTCTTGTTCCAAATAAGACTTGATCACCCCACAAGCGTTCCTATTCATCTTGTCCCATATCACCTCATCATATTTCGGTGGCCTCTCATGGACCATAATGCTCTCTTCCAAAATTTGAGCATTAAGAGCGTCATGTACGTCGCTCATCTACAAACTAAAATTAATTTTGTTGTCATACTTCAACACACTAATCTTAGTGTTTTGAAATCCAACCTGAACTGTACTCGCCATCGTCTTGCTGCTTTCACCAACTTCATCTCCCATTGCAAACCACTTCAAATTGTAAATAAAGATTCAAACTTTAATAGAAATTGAGAAATTACCCAACTGAAACCTAGATAGGATTCCAACACGATCTCCTAACCACACGAGGAAAGCGAGATCTCCAACGGTAGCTCCACAACGCTATCTCCACCAAAGTCTAGAACTCCAAGAACCAAGCTTCCACAATAAATCTTCCTCCACCCAATGCCAAAACCCTAGATCTCAAATCTGGAGCTTTTGATACCAATTGTTGCGCGCCGTGCGGAAGCGTGCTCGACAACCAAACGAGTCCGCGAGTGATGAGAGAAGAGAACTAAACCAAACATGAGTGCAATCACCAAAATAAGACACAAATCAAACCAACACAGAGAATTTACGTGGTTCGGCAAATTGCCTACGTCCACGAGGAGAGGATGAGGAGATTTCACTATATGAAGAGAAAATACAACGGGTTACAAACTCATACAAACTCTCAAATATAACCCTAATCAAATATCTCAACTCCTTCACAATATCTCCCTCTCAATATGCTCAAAAGACTCTTTTTTCTCTCTACTCCTCTCTGATAAGCCGTTCTATATATATAGAAATCCTAAAACCAAAAACATACTAGAAATTCTAAAACAAACAACAAAACAGATTATGAATCTTAATAACCTGTTATCAAAGCAGATTAGGAATCTTGTTACGAAAACAGAGTAGGAATCCTAATAACCCGTTACCAAAACAAATTAGGAACCTGCTATCCAACAAAAATTACTGTTCATGATACAATAAACACTATGGTTGCTACAGTATGATTCAGAATATTAAAATTACTGCTCATGATATAGTAATATTTTCAAACTTAGTCATATTGTTTGTGTTGCAATGATTTTTCACCCATAAACACTGCTCATGATACAATAAAATTTTTGTCCCTTTATCTTAACCTTAAAAATGTTGTTCATATTTTTTTGTCCTTATAAATGATGAATTTAACCTTTATCAGATATTCTAAACTATAAATATTTTTTGGCTCTATTATAGAAAATTGATAAAACTTACTAATTGATGTATTATTTTGTTAACTGGTTTGAAAATTTAGTCTGCAACTAGTATTAAAAAATTGTAGCTGAAGTTTTTGTTAATAGTTATATACAAAAACCATATTATCAATTTGGCCACATAGAATTTGGTAAATAATACCGTAGTGCAGGCTTAATTGTAGTATATATTTACTCACAAACATATGAGAAATCGATATGATATGAAATGTAAAGATGGTGAAAGAACAGTAATTACTAAGTAAAGCTTGTACAAAAAATTACTACAAAATGGCATGAACGTATGTGTTGGTATTCTCAAATTTTTATTTTTTTATTTTGCAAGTAGAAGTTCAATATAATTTTTTTTTAACACAAGCTCAATATAATTATATATATGACACTTCTCAACAATTCATTCTACGGTAAAGTGTTAAAAAATGAATTACTACAGATATGTGGATTGGAGATCTGCAATGTAGAAACAAATACACTTTTAATCTAATTTTTTGTTGCATTTCTTATATTGTTGTAAGCACAAAAATAAGCCTGGAATAACAGTTTCTACCAAATTTAAGCATCATGCCCCATTTTTGGAGCCAATCCAATATCATTTAAGAACGAAGTTCATAAAGAGTGACTACTCCGTACACCTATCAATGTAAAAAAAAAAGCAAAAAGAAGACAGTTGTAAATTTAAAGTTTATTATAATTTAGAAAATGGATTCATGTTTCTAAGATTACGAACTTTCTCATTATTAAGATATAAGGTTCTATGACCCATCATATTAATTTTTCCTGCCTAAAACTGCAAATTGCATGCTTTAGAAAACATTTCTATTTTTACTATTATTCCTCATCTTTACAATCTTGTTTCCATCAAGAAAAAGGAAAGAAGTAGATAAACGTTCCCATACACCGAACCGACACTCACACCTGCTTCGCTTCCTGTGTGCTAACAGATCTCCACCTCCCTCCTCTCTTTTGTAGCTTTCTTCCAAAATAAGCGAATAATTAATAAGAAAAAAAAAAGAACTAACTCCAGAATCGCGATATAAATAGATTCCCAATTCTTCAAGCAATTAATTTCAAGGGAAGGTAGATTTTCTCCTCAGTCTACAGAGATCTAGGGTTTTCGAGATCCTCGAGTTCCAGATCTCGATCTCGGTTTCGATCGGGAATGAGGTTAGTTCTGTTTGTTTCTCTCTCTTAGTGCTACATTTTGTTTAAAGATTTGGAATTGCGATTTAAAACTGTTCTTGAATTTAGATTGAGAAACTGAAGGAGTTGAGTTGATTGGAGATTGGAGATTGGAGATTGGAGATTGGAGATGGGAGAGTTTCAGCTGGGGACCGTGGGAGCGCTGAGTCTTTCAGTGGTCTCCTCGGTTTCGATTGTGATCTGTAACAAGGCGCTCATCAGCACTCTCGGATTTACTTTTGGTAAGAGATGCCGATGACTCTTTGATTAATTGCATTTGTTGCGTTTTTAGCGTTAGATTTATAGTTTGTTTGAATTCGACTTGCTTGTTGTTGGATAATTCGTCCTCAATTTGTTAAAAATGGCTCCTTATTGGTTATTATTAGGATTTAGTGAATTTTGGCATTAAGTTTAGTGTGTAGTTATGTGGAAAGTGTTGCATACCGTTCTTTCATCTTTGTCGTATTACATAAGGACTTTTTGCCATTGGTTGGATGTTGTATTTCCTTGTTGGATACGATGTTTTCTACTCGATTTTGTTATTATTCTCTGGATTTATTGGTGGGTGTTATTATTTTGTTAAGCATTAATTCCATGCACAATTAGAAGGGCATGGCTCTATGTTTGGATATTGTATGGTGCGTTCATTGTTGTTAATACTCTCCATGCAAATGTTCTAAGCTCAATGATTATTTTACGTAAATAGTTTGAGCTATTTCATGTATTTTGTTGTTGAGTTTTTAGCATTTATGTGACGTGTCAACTTTAAGCGGATAGTTTCTGTAAGGTGACACGATGGAAATAACGCAAACAAAATAGAAAGGAAACAAAGAATGAATGATACCGCACCTAGGAGGAAAAAAATTTAATTTCACTTCACGAACTAAGCTGATACATCATCATTATTTGAACCAAAACCGTCTTGACCATTTGAATGGAAAAAAGCGTTAATCTCTATTTTTTTCCAATACCAATATGATTTTGATTGGTGTGTCATACTTTTATGGATCCAAGTTTTACCAATAAAACCCTACCCTTGTTTGCAATCATGGTTGTGATTTATACCTTTATTTGTGTTCTAATATGTTTTTCCTGTATCATCATTGTATCAGTCTTATAGCTTGAAACTCTTTTCAGTGTTGTTGAATTTTAAGTATAAGTTTAGTTCTAGAGAGCTACATAAAGGAAAAGTTTGTAATGAGAAAGTTGCACAATTTGATGTTAACTTTAGGCAGGTGTCTGATGTTCTATACAAGACAATTTCCACTTTTGTGCTAGCAAGGTACTTACAAAACATAATTGTGAGCTCATTCGTGTCGGTGCATTGTTGTCTTAACTTTTTTTGTTGCTAAGCAGAGGACTTGGATTGTGGACATCCCACAACCATCCCTACCATTTTGCCATTGTGGGACGTATCCTCTACATGGCCCATTTATGCATACGATCAGATCCATCACATTATTTGTTAAATTTGATACTATTGTTATTCGGTCGTAGTATATTGGAACGAATTTGGAGAATTTTAATGCTTGTTCACAAAAACATGCATATGTTCCACCCACATGAATTTGGAGAATCTTAATGATTGTCCAGACAAACAAACGCATACACATACATATATTTTGCATACCTTTTTGATGTTGGCTAACTATTCATTTAAGTTACAGATAGCTTTGTGCATGTATTTGGATGAATTGTTGAGACTCAAACTTCTATCAATCCATGTCTATGATTAAACTCATTAAAGATTGTTGCTTTGTTGATAGTTTAGTGATTAGGCATAAGAGCATAGTGGACGGTAGGGGTGGAAATGAACCAAATCGAATCGAATACCATGGTTTTCAGATTCGTATGTGGTTAGTTTTCACGAATTCGATTTGAATTACATTATGAAACTTCAGTTGAATTGGAAGCAGTTGGTCAAATTCAATGTTGATTGTACACCGACCATATTTGTTAAATGTTCACGAATATCTCACTAGCACACTGGGTAAGTCACAAGATTATTGGGGATGAGGTCTTGACTTCAAACCCTATGTCTGAAGTCTTTTCTTATTTATTTTTATAACGTTTTACTTATGTTATTACGATATCTCACTTTTAGAATTATTATATTATATGTTTATAAATTATTAATATAATACTTATAAATAGCAATATTTATAAAATTATGGACGCATAAAAGATAATACAATGCAATAATATATAAGTAGAAAAATATAAACGAATATTTAATAATCAAACGAATCGAATATACCTCAGGTCAAATTCTATTCATTTATGAACCGAATACTAAAAAAATATTCATTTACTATTAAATGAACTACCTAATCGAATATGATTGAATATTTGGACGAATAATAACCGAACTGTTTAACAATTATTTGATTCGTTTCCACCCCTACTGGATGGAATATAAGTTATTTATAGGATCCTTATATATTTGTCTGTATATCATACCCTGCATTTTTGGGCTTTAGGATGCTGCAGTCAAGAGCTGTTTGCTATTTTTCCAATGTTCATAGGAATATTATGATAGCTTCAAACATATACGTTCTCGTTCTTGCCCGCATATCCACATTATATCACGTTCACATAGGAGTGGCACAAATTTCTTGTATAAAAGGACGTTCATAGGCACTGGTGCGAGACTGGTCTTGCTTAGGTTTTTCTTTGCAAGTGCAATTTCAGGGATAATGCTTATATCATTTCAAATTTCCATGTTGGATTAAGGAAACATATTAAGCTCCGGATTTCAACATACTATTCATTTAAGTAGTTGTTTCTTGTTACCATCATTCAGGATGTTGTCATGGAAGATTTTATTCAAGTAGATTAAAAATTTGTACCTCCTGTTTCGAGTTCAAATTTCATCCAACTTTGATAAGTCTAATTCAATTATGCCATTGAATCTGCATATCTGGAAGATTCAAGTAATGGAGTCTAGAAGTTGACTCAGGAGTTGTCCATAGGGTTAATTTTAGGAAACCCCCCTCAACTATGGGGGTCATTTCAGAAAACCCCCCTCAACTATTTTAACTCTAGAAAAGCCCCCTCAATTATGGAGTTGTTGTAGATAACCCCCTCAACTTTCAAAATATGATTTATACCGCCTCAATTTTTCTCACTTAACCCCCTAAACTAATATAATTAAAATTTAAAGGAACACATGATTTAAAATGACCATACTATCCCTAAGACATTAAAATTTTTACCATAATATTCCTTACTTTTTTGGTTACAAATAGCTTTTATTTTATTCCCCCATCTTCATTGCTAGGTTCACGTGCGAATATGATTTTTTTTTCTTTCTTTTTGAAACACTAAACTCTGTTATTTTCTGCTTATATGTTTGAAATAATTGAAACTTTTGAATTTTTTTGAAGATTAATTTCCTCATCCAGACCCATTGAATTGAGGTCTAATATTTTGATCGGGTTGGGTTTTTAAACTTCAATGAATTTTTTCAACCAAGATATTTTAGTCATTGCATATTTTAAATTAAATATTAGAGGGGTTATTTGAAAAAAAAACTAGAAAGATAAAGGGGGTTTTGTGAAATAGCCCATAGTTAAGGGGGGTTTGGTCATATTTTGAAAGTTGAGGGGGGCTATCTACAACACCCTCAAATTCGAGGGGGATTTTACATAGTTAAAACAGTTGAGGGGGCTTTCTGAAACAAGCCCCGTGATTGAAGGGGGTTTTCTAAAATTAACCCTTGTCCACATCTTGCTATACGGAATATTTGATGTACCGTACAATTCAATACAATATGCAGGAAAATTTGCATGCATCTTATGTATGTGTACCTATAGGGTTAATGTAGCTTACCACACAAAATATTGTACACTACAATACACTATATATTTTGATAAGCCTTCTCAGTTTATAAATTAAATTCAAAGCCCTTTGGAAGGCCTTTAGGTGCTTACATCCCCCTGTTATTTGCAGCTACAACTTTGACAAGCTGGCATCTTCTAGTCACATTTTGCTCTCTTCATGTGGCATTATGGATGAAGTTGTTTGAACATAAACCTTTTGACCCAAGGGCAGTAATGGGCTTCGGAGTCCTCAATGGAATCTCCATTGGGCTGCTGAACTTGAGCTTGGGTTTCAATTCAGTTGGATTCTATCAGGTCTGTCTGCTTTCTCTGATTCAGCTTTTGCTAAATATACCCTGGATATAATATTAAGGTTTTATGTCCTTTCATAATTTAGAGAGAATACTACTAAAATTTATCTATTATTCTTTGTGATCAATATGATTGATAGCTATTTAAAATTCACAGGAATAAAGAAATTTCTTTTGACTTTGTTTTTTGGAGGAGCTTGATGAGAGAGAGAGAGGATGTGGCAATGTGGCATCACAGTGCATGCTGACCTCTATCCATAAATGGCTAGTTGACACTGTCTCCTGCAACAAAGTACAGTGAATTGACTGAGGGGGAACAAGAAAATCACATGAGCTGATAGTTACACAACTAGGATAGATGCCTTTTCTAGATAATCTGGAGGGAAATTTTTTTTGAATCTTAAAACTTGCCCTTAACAAAGTGCTTACAAACACTCTGCATGATATTGGGGATGAGGCTTGAATCATGCGATTATCATCTGAGTGTTGGAAAGATAATTGCATAAGATAACCGGGATAAATATCTTGTCTAAATAATCTGAAAAGTTTTTCAATAGTCACCCTACGCACAAAACCGGGGACAAAGTATGGTAGTTATACCTATTAATTTGTATTAAACCACTGATATTTTTTTATTAAACCACTGATATTTTCTTTTAATATTTCATTAAATGTATTATTTGTTGACAGCTTCATATTTGAAAATCAGAGTGTCAACAGGAATACTGGATATAATCTTACTTCATCTTGTCATCTTGCGATTTAGTTTGACCACTAACATCGGAACATCAACTTATGTTGTATATATATTTACATTGTTATATGTCATCTTTTCTTTTAAAAGCAGTCCTAGTACTCTTCCTTTATTTGTACAGTGATGGCTATCGGTTTTGTTTTATCTTACAATTTAAATCTACCCAGAGATTTTGTTTTCATAATTCAGTTGTGGGGTTTACCTGTTGGAGATGATATTTTGCATTTTTTTAATTCCAGATGACAAAACTGGCAATCATTCCTTGCACTGTTCTGCTGGAAACTCTTTTCTTCAGGAAGAAGTTCAGGTAAGCTTACTTACACTGTATTTAGCAGACACTCAAATAGAATAATCAGAAAGTGAAAGGAGCACAGTTATTGTTTATATAGCCCATTAGCTATGGTCTGGACATATTGAAGATCTAGATGTCACGGTCTGGATATATGCACGTCAGCGACACACCTACTAAGTGTGTGGAGGGACATACCAACCCCTTATTACTCAAATCCATACATATACATAATGATGCTACTACAATTTTTGGGTGCATGTACTTCCACAGTTCCACTCCATATTACGTAATGCAGCCCCACCCATATTCCGCTGTTTTAAAATTTTGTTTTCCCTGTTACATTTTAAACTTTAATGTAGTTGGAATGTTTAAGGACAAAAACACAGTTTTTAAGATGTGTGTGCGCGGGCGTGCGGGCGCGTGCATGTGTGTATATATGCACACCCACATGAAGCATAAGCAAAACGTCTCTGAAACATTTTGGTCATACTTGATGAACTTCAATAAACTTCTTTGTGATTTTACCTAAATAGCTACTAGCCTCCTTTTAGAATGTAGCACCCCTTAATTTTATGTCTCCAACAGCTATATTATTATTTGATATGCTTTGTTAACATTATTGATAATTGGGACCCGACAATAGCAATGCTTTTAGTTGAAGTAGGATGCCTGATTTGAGTGCTACTTTAAAGGGGTAGAGAAATTTACCTAATTGGGGCTCGGTCTTGGCTCATGCAGCTCATGGTGTGAATTTGGTCCTAGAGTCGTCTGCTTATCAGGATACGTCAAAAGTATGAGCCTTTTAATTTGAAGGAGGATACTCAAATCAGAAATATATATCAGAAAACCTTAAACTTTTGGGGATTATCAGATAAACCCCCATAACTTTTAAAAAGTCAGAAAATCGTCCTTAGGTTTTGGGGCTATGAGATAAGCCCCCTTGAACTTTAAAATTTTACCAGAAAACTACCCCAAGTTTCACATGGGTGGGTAAAATTATGTATAGGAGTATTTTACCCTGTGAAATTGTGGTTCATGCTGAAAATTTTTGAAGTTAAAGGAAGTTCTCTGATAACCCTTAAACTTTAGGAGGGTTTCTGATATTTTGGAAGTTATGGGGGATTATTTGATAACTGTCCATAGATAAGGGGGCTTCTATGATATTTAGCCAAAATGGAATTGTCTTCTTGTTATTCAGTGAGCTCGTTCGACGCCCGCTGATATAACTTTTGATCCATTGCGTATCCTGTTATTTTAAGATAAATTATATTATCTCATTGTTCTATCTCTAGTTTGTTGTTTATGCACAATGTTTGGTTCCTTTTGCAGTAAGAGTGTCCAGTTCTCACTTACCATCCTTCTTGTTGGTGTTGGCATTGCGACTGTGACAGATCTGCAACTCAATACTCTGGGATCTGTCTTATCACTACTTGCAGTCCTTACAACTTGCATTGCTCAAATTGTATCCTTCAATAGTTACTTCATCACAATGAATTTGCATAAAGTTCTTCAATGACTTTAAGACTCATCAGATATTTGCGTTAGTAAGGTAGTGCTTTGACTTAGTGTTCAAATCATTCGTATTTGCAGTATATGAAAATGACCTTTTATGGACAAAAAAGATGATAACCATTTTGATCGGGAGAGGTTAAGTCTCGTAAGATACTTGCATTTGTAAGGTAGTGCTTTGAGTTAATCTTCAAATGATTCGTATTGGCGTTCTGAAATATTAAAGTATATGAAACTGACATTCCTATGGACAAAACAAGTGATAACCATACTGAATGGGGAGGTTAGGTCTCAGCCCAAGAGGCACATTGTATGTTGAATTTAGCTTTTGGTCAATAGCAATCAAGTATATGTCATAATTTGGTGTTCAGGTCATTTCCATGCTGTATAAATTTGTTCTTGCTATATATAGGAACACTAAGAGGAAATTTCTCAGCCCACTGAACTGGATATTTATGTGACTACTTTCACGAGCATAGTTATTATTGTTTTTTTGTGCATTTGAAACCTGCTGCTTTGGGGTCTGGGCCAACTTCTGTTACGAAACTTATCTGTGTTCTCACATTAGTGGGCTACAACGCACCATTCGTCACACAAAGCTTCTGTGCATTCCTATTGGCAAAATTGAATAGTGATTCCTTGTTGTGGACCCTTCTCAAAGAAGCCATTTAGGAATTTTAGAGCATGGTTGTAGCAGTGTAATAGCATTCAGTAGTTATCAGAAAACAAATTTGACAGAGTTGCTTATTGTATCTGATCCAACAGATCCACCATAAAGAATAGATGTAATAAAGAGAGTTGAAAATTATGTAGCACGGTTTATGGTGTAACAGTGATTCAGTAGGCTAATTTGGAAATTTATTTTTTTAAAACTTTTAGTCACATTCAATGTCATATTGTTCTATTTCTTTTTGGAACCTTAACCATCTATTCTCAGATGACCAACACAATTCAGAAAAGGTTTAAGGTCTCTTCAACGCAGCTATTGTATCAATCTTGCCCTTATCAAGCACTGACCCTGTTCATCATTGGTCCATTTCTTGATGGCCTTCTTACAAATTTGAATGTTTTTGCATTCGAGTACACACCTAAAGTCCTGGTAAGTGAAATTTTTACCTTTTGATTATTTTTTAGTCTTTTTGCCTCTTGCAACTAAGATCTGTTATCATTAATTTGCTTGCAGTTCTTCATTGTCCTGTCTTGTTTGATATCTGTCTCTGTCAACTTCAGCACATTTCTTGTAATTGGAAAAACATCGCCAGTCACTTATCAAGTTTTGGGTCATTTGAAAACATGCTTAGTTTTGACATTTGGCTATGTGTTACTTCGAGATCCATTTAGCTGGAGAAACATCTTTGGTATTTTTGTAGCCTTAATTGGCATGATTCTCTATTCTTACTGTTGCTCAAGAGAGAGTCAGCCAAAGCCAAATGAAGCATCATCCCAGTCATCACAGGTACGGTGCACTTCGAATATCCTCTTGTACTTTATTAATTTCCATATAACAATATTCACTGGGCATTGGACAGATATCTTCTTATTGTAGTTTGCTTTGCTATAAAGTCTTCTCCATTCAATCTTCTTTCTATTAATCATGCTTGCTAAGTGATATTTTAGAAAGTTTTCCGCTGGTCACAATTTCATTTTTTTAATGTAAAACTGTAAAATGCATGAACAGTTTGTACCACATTATCCAGAATGTAGAGTGCTTCAGTTAGAAATAGAGCAGGTATATAGGACAGTATTAGTCACATAAAGTGGCATACTAGGGGCTTCTTTGATCGCTTCGTCAGAATGAAATAGAGTCTTCTCGAACATGTGACAGTTTTTAGGAAGAAGAGGAGAGAAAAAAGGTCCGGTGAGCCATAAGGAAGAACAGCAGAGAAACGAGAGAAGAAGAACAATAAGAAGGGGATGAAGAACTGTAAAACAGCAAAAAGGGGGAGGGGAAGATTGTGAAGCAGGAGCAGTAAAGGAAGAAAGGAGAAAAAGAAAAATGAGAGAAGAATAAGAAGCAGAGGGTGAAGAAACAGAAAAGGAGTTTAAACGTGATTAGGAAACCATGACGAGGAAAGTGTCAGTTTGATTGGTTGCACTCGGCGGCTGTCTGTTGATGAATTCTCTAATTTTGTTCCTTCAAAAGCATCGATATAAAATGCAACATTATAAGTAGTTCCTTGTGTACTCCATTCATCACATTCTAACTATGAACTGACTTCTCATTTTTAGTGACTCATCCTTTCTTACCAATTAACTTCAGGTAAAGGAGGGCGAAGCAGATCCTCTACTTGGTTTGGAGAATGGCACGGTTGGTGATGCTCAGAAAGGCCCCGTGTGGAGATCGGACAAAGACCTGCATGCCTAAGTCTTCTCCAAAATCTTCTTTCACAACATTATGTAAAAATTGCTGATAAAAAAATCGGCTTTAGTTAGGAGGTTGGAAATGCTGATGGCATCTCTGTTAAAGTCTCTTATAAAGCGAGGAGAGTTGGAGACAATATTCTTTTAATTGAATTTTTGGTTGCCATATGGTGATGGTCTCATATAGCTCAGCTTGTACTAGAATTTTGTTATTGATTTTAAACCAGCTTGTCCTCTCGTTCTGCAATCATTTCAATTGTTATCAATTGGATGTTTAAGCCCTTTTGTTTCTTGGTGGATGAAGAATTCTGCTGTTAATTGTATTCCTGATACTTTTTCATGTTTCCTACGTGCTTAATCCTGATTTCTCTGATCATTTTTGTAAGTTCAGCGACATGCAAGGATTTGTTTCTCCTTAACCCAGCATCTGTGTACTATCGGAGGCTACAGTTTGAAAAGGGTCATACTTCTTTAGTGACCCGGCGCCTAAGAATTCTCAATCCCATGAAAATACCGTGCTCCAGAAAATATGCTTTTTTTCGCCTTATCTAAGCCAAGTAATGAATACATGTTTTTTATTTTTTAAATTAATTTTTTTACCGAGCCTTCTGTCTTTAGATTTTAGAGTTCCTCTACGCAGAGATTCGATCTGGTGAATGATAGATAAACGCAACCGTGAAAAATATCCACCGTAAGTTACGCAACCCAAATTTCACAGTGTTTCATCAGACGGGGGATTTTTAACAGAAACAATTCCCTTTGCTATAAATCTCTACGAACAAAACAAGCACCGCTATAATTATCAGAATTCAATTCAAGCACTAACTCCCAATCCAAAACCCCTATAAATACTTAGCACAATGCAAACATCCAACAAAAACACAAAGATAAACACATGCACGTATTTGCATCATCAAAAAACATGAACAACTCCAACATCACCTTCATCCTCTTCTCCCTCATCCTCCTCCTCCCTCTCCCTCTAGCCTCCTCCTCCTCCCAACCCCACAATATATCGGCCGTGCTCGCGTTCGGCGACTCCACCCTCGAACAACAACTTCATCCGAACCCTCGTCCGCCGCCAACACACCCCGTATGGCCGCCCACACCGGCCGCTTCTCCAACGGAAAACTCATCACCGACTTCCTCGTGTCCTCCCTCGGCCTCAAGCAAACCCTGCCCGCCTCCTCCGACCCCAACCTGACCGTGGCCGACCTCCTCACTGGGGTCAGCTTTGCGTCGGCCGGGTCGGGGTTTGACGACCTGACGGCGGGGACGGCGGGGGTGGTGACGATGGGGAGTCAGGTTCACAGTCGGGGTTTGACGACCTGACGGCGGGGACGGCGGGGGTGGTGACGATGGGGAGTCAGGTTCACAACTTTGAGGAGTATGTTGGGAGGCTGAGGGAGGGTGTAGGAAGAGAGAAGGCTGATGGGGTAGTTAAGAGTGCGGTGTTTGTTATTGGCGCGGGGTCTAATGATTTGATAATGAACTATTATTTGACTCCTCTGAGGAGGGTGAGTTTTAGTGTGGATGAGTATCATGGGTTTTTACTGCAGAAGATGGAGAGCTTTGTTCAGGTGTGTATTCACAATTTACAAACTTTTCAGGTTTTTTAAATTTAAAAAAAAAAGGTTAAATTTCAAAGCATGCCATTAATTAATTTTGAACCGCACTTACAAACAAAATTACCAAAAAATTGGTCCTTTTTTTAAAGTATTAGTCCAAAATTCATAACAGTGTCTTGAAATTTAGCATTAAGAGATTGAAGTTATTAATTTTTGGGTTAACTGGGGATATACGTTTTGTACTTTGTATCTCCCTTGTAATTCAATTGTGACAGATAGACACCCCTTGAATGAAATTCTTTTTTCTTCAGGAGGTTTATTTGTTTAAAAACAATTTTCTCGCTCTCAATGATTCAAAAAAATAATTTAACTTAGAGAGTCTATTTGCAACAGTAGAACGGCACAGAGTCTATCCGCAATCGGTGATAGTACAGGCCAGGTCTATTTGCAATTAAACGTGATTTTTCTTATGGATTGGTTGACACTTGGGAGAGATTTTATTGAAAAATTAGCAAGATTTTCATGGTATAAAATTTTCTTTTCTTATTTCATATTTTGAAGAGAAATGTAATTTATTTACTTACACTCACTTTGAAGCATAGCTCTTATTTTTCATGTGCATAACTTAACAAATACAGTTTAAACATATGAATCTTCATATTGAGCACAAGGATTCGGATCCTCTCCGCTACAAAAAAAAATAGTGGAGGGACCACTACATAATCACAGTCATTGATTATCTAGTTGATGGTTATGATTTTTTCTTTTAGTGCAAATTAGGAATGAGTGCAATACACGGGGGTATGGTAAGTGTTAGATTTAGATTGTATTATAACCGCCTACTAAGTAATCAACGCTTAAGATTAAAAGCAGTGGTCTCTCCACTACTTTTTTGTAGTGGAGAGGATCCAAATCCTGAGCACAAGGCTTCTCTGTTGTGATTTCTACACTTGGAAGTGTAGGTTTAAGTAGCATGAAATCTTCCTTATTAATTCTAGTACTGTTCTATACATAGCCAACTACTAGCATTGTTTCAGGGAAGCATATGAACTCTTATCTTTCTTGATAAAAGCACCTCCAAGTCCACACAATAGACTAAACATCACAGTTAAATCTATTCCTCTATACAAACATGAGAACCCAAGATTTACTGTTCATGCTACAGTAAACGCTACAGTAAGTAGCAAACATGAGACTGGGCAGCAATTGTTTTGTAAGGATATTACTGTAGCAATTTGAAAATTCAAAAAGTTGATGCAGCAGTTAAAACATGGGTTATTGTAGCGAGGAAAAAATATGACGTGCCTTGCACGGTGTTCACACTAGTCTATACAATAGACTAAACATAACAGTTAAGTCTAACTATTATATCTTCTCCAATTATTAGGCACCTAATTCTATTTTCAGCTCCCCTTGTGCCTTTCCACCTCTTCTGTCTTCCTATTTACGTACAATCATAAAAAGGCTGTGGTGGCAACAAGAGGCGGAAAAATCTCTCATTTTCTCTCCAAATAATATGTTTTTTATTTGATCTTTTGACCCTGTTACCGGGCTATAAATCATTATTTAAATATGCATAGCTCTTGAAGATTAAGATGCCTCAACCTCAGTCATGTAATGTATAATGAGAAAATTTATAGAAACAAGAAGGTGGAGATTATGAGTTCTTCAAATATTCTTCATTTACCATTTTTTGGCCTTTTAAACGCATTATAAGGGAGACTACTCCCACATTTTGAGTGATGTTAATGTTGTATGGGTGCATTCACATACTCAAACTTATCAAATTTTCATAAATACCTGTACAATTTCTAAATCTTTGCGGTGTTAACACAAAGTTTCCCCCTGTATATATTATGTATGAATGTGCAGCGGCTGTACACGTTGGGTGCCCGTAAATTCACGATTTCTGGCCTCCCACCCCTGGGATGCGTCCCAATTCAGATGACAATAAACACCGTGACCGCTTTAATGAAAACAGGCTCCTTTACAAGATTGCTTGGTCCGCGAGTTTGCATTGATCAGCAGAATGCAGATTCGGTTTCATACAACTCAAGGCTGCAAGCCTTGATCAACAGAATGGAGTCTTCGCTCGAAGGCACCAGATTCGCTTATGTGGATATATACAATCCAGTGATGCACATGATCAAGAATCCGGGGGCATATGGTGAGCTTATAATGTACTTGTTAAGCGTATTCGCAATGCTAATATTTCCTGCAAACTGCCTCATATTAATCTTTTTTGTTTAGCCATGATTTCAAATGTTTCGAAGACTATGAACTTCAAATTGGCAGGGGATATAATTCAGAAGAAATAATGTGACTTACAATCTGAATCTGTAAATTAAGATACTCCCCTAGTTTCTCCAACTTTTATTAAACTTTTCTGTCAAAATTAAAATTTTGAAACCTTGAGCATATGAGAAAATGGATTTCTAGAAAATATGGTGAGACTATGAAGCATATATATCTACTCACAATTCTAATATTTTCTTATCACCTATGATTTTCGGTCAAAAGAATGAAGTTACTTCTACATGTTTCTAGGCCTTAACTTCGAGTAATCCTGATCAATTTTCTCCAACTTTTTAATATATTTTTTTAGAAAAACAATTTTCAATTTTAAAACATATGAAAACGGAATTGGACGTCTTCCCCTTTTCCCTTTATTTAAATTTTTAGAGGGAAAGTTACTAGAAATTCCCTTTATCTGGAGAGGTGGGGAAACAACTCCATGTGGAATTTATATATAGAAATCTTGTACAAAGTTCCTTAGTTTTTTGGCTCATTATTGATAACCAAAAAGGCGATAAAATTCAAATATGTTATTGTTGATACTGAATTTTCCTTGATTTGATTTTTTGGTGTTTAATCAGGGTTTACGCATACTAGTATTGGCTGCTGTGGAAGTGGGATGATAGAGATGGGACCAGCGTGCAATGGCGGCTCATGCGCTGACACCTCAAAATACTTGTTCTGGGACTCAGTTCATCCCTCTCAAGCCACCTACCGAGCTCTCTCTGACCAGCTCATGCAAAGTCTCCTCTCACAGCTTACTAACTAATGATTACATTGATCATGTATTAATATTTAGGTTTTGTAAGTTCTATTTATTTGAATAAAACATGTTGGTTATTTTTATTTTTATAAATTTTTTGATATCAACTGAAATTATTATGGTTTGAGGTTTCTTTGGAATTATTATGGTTTGAGATTTCTTTCTTCTCTGATTCTTTTCTTTTTGAGTTTACTAGATTAGATGCACGTGCATTGCACGTTGTTAAGTATCATTATCTTTTTTTGGTTCTATTTTCTTACTTAACTTAGTTGTGAAATATTTCTTTTAATTTCACGTGAAAAAGTAAAATAATTTATTATCTGCATACTATATAGTTAATCAAAAGTATTAAAATTACCATAGCCAAAGTCAAAATTACACGGTCAATTCACATTAAGTGCAATTTATAATAAATAGTACATGAATGTAAAGATCCTTTTATTAAAAACTAATTTTTATGCAAATAATTTCATTCTCATCGCAATCCTATGTTTTCATCTTATAAGTTGCACGAATTCACAGTATTTTATACCCTTTACAATTTTAATAATTAAATTCCACTTTAATGTTATATCCCATGAGGCTAATAGGCTCCTAAGGAAAGATCATATACCAATAACCATGTATCTTAACTATGAGAATTTTTTTAAGGTAATATTATTATATTCTATATGTTTATGTTCTGGATTGTCAAAGCAAGCTATGAATGACTAATTTTTTTTTTATGCTAGTATGTATGTTTTTCTTGGTAGAATAAATTGTTATTTTTTGAGACATAAAATTGCTTTATAGCTAACTTTGACAATTTCATGCAATTAGAGATTTGCTCATGTCTTTAAATTATATTTTTTAATGAGCATGAGCTATCTATTTATTTGAAGATCCTTCTCCATTTCATACGATCAATCTTGTAATTCAAAGCATTTTTAGCTCAACTGCCTCAGCTATAACTTCTATCATGATTCATCTCTATTTCTTAGTACGTAGTGGCTAGTGTTACTCTGATGGGATCTAGTTATTCTAATTTAAGTCTGTTGAAATAATTACAAGTGGTGAAGATCATAAATATTTTGAAATGATATATTTCATTACCATACCTATTGAACATTTCAAAGGCTCGCAATTTGTGATGATCCTAAATATATTAAAATGATATATATTGAACATATGATGATCAAAACATCAAAAGAACTTAAATGTGACTAAAATTAATTTATACCACTTTTCACGCATGTTTATAAAGTATTTAGAAATATAAAATATTTAAAATGAAATACATTAAGTTAGAATTTAGTTTTAAATTAAGAGCCCTTATTTGAATAATCTGAGATGCATAAATTCTTTGACTTAACATATATATTAAACATTTCAAAAGCCTAAATATCTAGCTTTCACTTTTCAAACTACCTTTTTCAGTTATAAAAAATAGAAAAAACTTTTTTTCTGAGTTGGTTGCTTATAGTAAAATACTATATTTTTCTTATTTAATATAAAAATTTATTAAGCAAACGATATATCTCATGTTTAATGTAGATAACAATGAGAATAAAGTAAAATATTTTAAATGCTGAATATCAACAAAAAAACCCCATTAACTTTGGATGATAATCAGATAATCCCGCATAACTTTAAAAATATCAAAAAGTCCACTATATTTAGGGGTTATCAGAAAACCTCTTTAACTTTGAGATTTTTATCAGGAAATCACTCCAAAATCGATAATTTTAGGGGAATTTTCTAATAAAATCTCAAAGTTGAGGTTTTTTGATAAGATCTAAAAGTTAAAGGGGGTTTCTTATAATTATTACTTAGTGAGATTTTATAATATTATATTTTAAAAAATAATGGATTAATTTTACAAAAACTCCCTCAACTATTTTAAGATGAGGAAACTCTCTCATGTTTAAGTATATTGTAGATAACCCCCCTCAACTATGAAACTTCAAAATAATCCCTTGAACTTTTCTCACTTAACTCCCCTTAAATATATATATTCTCTACGAAAACCCCCTCAACTATTTTAATTTGAAAAACTCCCTCAGATTTGAGCTTAATATAGATAATCCCCCTCAAGTTTAAAATTTTAAGAAATCACGATGAATTCTTCTCACTTTACACCCTAAAAGCTAACGTTGTTACCCTAATAACCCTATAAGTTTATATTTTTTTCCACTTAACCTAAAATATTTTTTGGAAAAAACCCTCAAACATCGGATGTTTACATTTTAAATATTTTTTAGAGGTTTTTCATAAGTATTAAAAATTTCAAGAGTTGATTATAATTTTTAGATGTTTAGGAGATTTGCTTCTAATTATAGATTTTTTGGGGGGTTGTTTGTACTTTTTATATTTTTGGGGGGTTTTAGTAATTTTCTTATTTGTAATTTTCTAATTTAAAGGGTTTGTTTATGATTTTTTAGATTTTTAGGGGGTAGTATATAATTTAAAAATTTTTAGGATTCTATTTTTTCATATTTAAAAATTTCTAGGTGTTTTTTTGAAAATTTGAACATTTAGGGGTTTGTTTTTAATTTTCAAATTTTAAAGGAGGTTGTTTGTACTTTTTTGATTTCACATAGGTTATTTATAACTTATAATATTTTTATGGATTATTTATAATTTTAGAATGATAAGAGTGTTTTTCACATTTTTAGATTTTCTAAGGGTTTTTTTTTGCAATTTCGTGAAACCCTCAAAATTAGCATAAAGGTAAATCTCACTAAACCCCCAATAATTTTACTATTTGGAACTAAATATCAAATATCTTTAAAACTCTAACTAAATGCCCAATAATTTTTGGCTAAAAATCCTCAAAATTAACATCATTAATTCATGCATAGTCAAATGACTAAAGTACACCCCAATAACCCAATAAGTTTTACATTTTTTCATTTAAGCCCCATTAATTTTTAGCAAAAAAACCCAAAATAACGGTCATTTATAATTTTTAGATCTTTTTAGAGGTTCGTTTGTATTTACTAGAATTTTCAAGAGGTTAATTATAATTTTTAGATTTTAGAAGTGTTTGTGTCTAATGTTTGATTTTTTGGAGGGTTGTTTTTACTTTTTATAATTTTTTAGGGTTTTCTAATCTTTTCAGGTTTCTTTGTAGTTTTGTAACTTAAAGGGTCAATTTATTATTTTTAGGATGTTTAGGGGCTGCTTGCAATTTAAAATTTATAGGATTCCATTTGTAATATTTTACTTTTTACGAGATTTTTTGTAATTTTCATATTTTTCACGTGTTTGTTTGAAATTTTGAATTTTTAAGGGTTGTTTATAATTTTTAATTTTAAAGGGGTTTGTTTGCATTTTTTGGATTTTTAAGAAGTTCTATGTAATTTATGATTTTTTTGTGTTACTCATAATTTTAGAACTTTAAAAGTATTTTTTTTTTAATTTTAAGATTTTCAAGGGTTTTTTACAATTTTAATTTTTAAGGGGCCTATATGTTTTTTTAGCTAGAAAATTTTGAGTACTATTTACAATTTTAGAATTTTTAGTAGCTATTTATAATTTTTCCTTTTTTTGGCTGCTTATCAAATTATGGGTTAAGTCGCAAATAAGATCGATTTGAGGGATATATACTATGCTTAAGGATTAATTTTAGCCAACGTGAAATTTTAGGGTAACACCATTTTGGAACTTAAGTGCAAAAATTCAAAATTTTTTTGTTGCTTTCTGAAATTATCTAACTTAATTACTAAGGATTTGACAAGAATTATAGATATTTTGGGAGTTTAATGCTCAATTTAAAGTTCTGAAATGTTCATTGAAATTCATTTTTAAAAGTAATTAAGGAGGGATAATGATAATTTTTTAGATTTTTTTAATTGTGGATAGTTAGAACTTGTTTAGAATTAACAAAAATTTAATTATCATAATTTTCTACTTTTTTGTGAATAGGAGTTTCTAGTAATAGATATGAATAGTTTTAATTTAATGAGAATTCGTAAGAAAATAGAATTAGTTGGATACCTGTCATCTTTTAGTAGGATAGAAAATTAGTCGTTGACTGTTTGTCCTCTTGTTTTTTGTCTGTTTCTGTCCCTTTTGTTTTTGAGACAGAGTGTTGTTGAGGACTTGGCTGGTTAGGTTACCATAACTGCCTTTTCAAAAAAAAATTATTTCTACTATTTGATCTCTTTTAATATTAAATTTTGGTTGAAGATTTTACTTTTAAATTATTTGAATATTTTAGGATAAAATTAGAATGTAATATTCAAAAGGATTAAGGGTAAAATTGATCATAGAAATATTTTCTTAAACTCACTCTTTTATAAGGAGTATGAATGATATGATATGATATAATATGATGATATGATATTGCTAACGTGCAAAGGTTCTAGTGCTTAGTCATAAGAATCTCTTAATTAACACGTGCACGCTTTTTAGATGATGGTGAATGAGGAGGACGGAAATGAGGCATTGGAGGGGGAAGCTAGAGGTGGAAAATTGAACTCCTTTAATCTCTTAATTATATGATTTGGTTCCTCCTCCAATTTGGGATGTAGCAAGATGATATGTACTTAAGCAATTATGATATGAATATGACCATGAATAATAATCCAAACATATGGCAAGACAAACTATCTTACATTTTCTTGACTAAACTTTTAAACGTAACACTATATTTCTCCCTTCTTTTCCTTCTTTTTCCTTCGCGCTCTTCCCTTCTGTTTTATTATGAACTCCCAAACCTACATGTAAATTTAAATGATTGAGCTTATGTATACGGATGTGCGTGCGTTTATGGAGTAATGAAATTATGAGCTAGTATAATTGCTTAATCAAATTCATGATCGGCGCCGTTCATCTTGTTCAAAATATTATTAAACTTACATGTATATAAATTTATATGAATTTAAGCCTTCCAATGTAAGAATATCTATGGTTTTATGAAGTATAGAGCTGTTCATTTTGCACCAAGCTGTATAATGGTTAGAAGTATATGTAAACCAAATAGATTTTTATACGTATGAGTTACATGATATATAAATCAAGCTTTTCAATACAAATAATCATATTGAGTAGCCGGCTAGTTCACGATAAGAATATCATTTTACCATCTCATTTTATCAGGTGCGAGTGCGGATTACATACCTATATATCAATCTTAATTTTGCTCTCCGAACTGTGATAGCAGATGTGCTCGGTGATCAGACTATGTCAATGAGTTATTTGTAAGATTATGGGTTGTCTTTGTTATGGATCACATCCTCAATCCGTAAATTCTTCTTTACAATGTGATGAGAGATGTGATTAATGATTATATCACATCAAATGAGCCGTTGAAGAGATGAGTTTTCTGAAATTTATTCTTCTCAAAATATAAATTCAGTGACAAAAATACTACTAAAATAGTTAAAGAGTGATAAACGCTAGGGGGTTAAATGCAATTTACTCTAGAGTAAGCGCCATTGTAAAGAGAAAGTGTGTCATCGTACAAGTTATACGCAACTACTCATCTATATCACTTGATAAAAAATTTCAATAGTAAATAACAATAAATTAAGAGACATTTTGATAAAAAATTAATCATACTATTAATCACTTGTAATTATATAATTTACAAATACAAAAAAACATAGAAATTAAAATGATAAAAATAAATTCTTTATTAATAACCAGTTGATCACTAACAATTACAAATTTATTTTGTAATTTGCCGCATTATAATAGAGGAATACATCCCAACTAGGTTGGCACCTATTCATCTATATCACTATCATTTGTAATTCTTTCCAAAATAATTTATCACAAATTTCCAGTGAAGAAGTAAAAATTACAAACTAATGAATAATTTCTACTCTTTATCTCTATATGCTACTCCCAACTCTTCAAGTTTATCTTCAATACTAGCTATCCGATCGATGCATTAAGTTTTCTTCTCGTACCTCCACCAATCTTGTAGGCACATTACCACATGTACGGTGTATGCATCTAATGATGTCATGTGGTCGTCGATCAAACGTCCTGTTGTGCTGAAGGCGGATTTCAAAACTACCGGGAAAACCTGCACTATTAGTAAGTCACGAGCCATGATGAGAAGTATAGGATATGAAACTGTTCTATATACTCTTCACTATTACAAAATATAGAAACTATTATTTTAACTTTTAACTAAAGATGCAGTAAAATATTGTTTATTAATTTCAGAAACTTCTATTGATGATCCAGATCCACCAGTTAGCTGAGCTATCAATAATTCCCTATCAAAACTCTTACCTTTGCCCTGACTTGAACTTGTAAAAGCAAAAGTTATAGACTGATGTGTACTTACACCATATATAGTTGCATACTCATTATATAATTTAAAAAAAAATTCTAATAATATTATGATGAGTAAGAGTAGTAATAGTTTGACCATCATCAGTGTCTATTATTATGTTACCATATAAAGAATTTAACAAACTTTGAAGGCCAACATCCTTCAAACATGGATCAATAAGAACTCTCAAACCAAAAATAATAGGAATAGACCAAAAATACTTATTAAATTTACTTTTCATTTGAAAAATCATATTTCCAAAATAATTATCCATACAATAATTATTTTTTTTTTTGAATATTTAAATTTTGTAAAGCAGTTTGAATAATAGTTAGATAATAACATAGTAGTATCATAAAAAACTTGTAACATCTCTTTTACACTATATATAACTGACCATTCATTCTCAGTTATTCCATGCATATTACCAGAGCTAGAACTAGAAGTATAGAAAATAATAAAATTATATATAGTTTCTTTATACTCTATTGCAACATTTAACATTGTATAGGTAGAATTCCACCTATGATCAACATCTTTTGGAATTAATCTAGGTTTAAATTTTTTTCCTTTTACACAATTATTTCCATCTTTTAAGTCTTTGTTCAGAAACATTATGAGCATAAGCTACTGTCCTAATCTTTCTATCATGAATTTAATTTCACCAAATGTACGTTGAACAAATAAATTTAAAATATGACACATACATCTAATATGAAAAATATCACCATGACATGATAATAGTAAAGATGATTTGATATGATCAACAACTACATTATTATTATTTGCATTATCTAGTGAAAGAGAAAATATTTTTTCTAAAATTTATAATTTTATAAGTTCTTCAATTATTAAATTTGCAATATTAATACCACTATGTGAATCTTCAAATGTAATAAAAGAAATAACTCTTTGAAACATTTGCCAATCATCATCAATCCAGTGTGTTGTGATACATAAATAAACAGTTTGTGCTCTAGATGTTCAAATATCAGAAGTTAAAAAAAATTTACAGTTTAAACTTTGCAAATAAGAAATTATTTTTGCTTGTTCCTCGTGATAATATTTCAAAATATCACATTGACAAGTTTGACGAGAATTTTTTTAAATACGGGATAAAAACTATCTGTAAACATATCTTCAAATTCATCATCTTCTACTAATTTAAAAGGAAGAATTTTAAAAATAATAAACCTAATGATGCATGTCCTCGCTCGGATTGCGTTATAGTTCCAACTACCGAAACTACCGGAAGATGAGGATTGGGAGAGTAAAGATTGTCGGATATCACCTTGAGGTTTCGTCTGACCTTTGTTGTGCTTTTCTAAATGGCGTTTGAGGTGGTTGGTGCCGCTTTTATGATAAGCTTGGAAAATATGGCTGCACAACGCACATTTAGCCTTCTGGGTGAGAAGTCTACCGTGTTGATCCCTAGTGACTTCTGTCTTCTCGAATAAGTTTCACACATCAGACCTCGGCCTTTTAGGAGCTCTAGGTGCAGAATCATCACCGTCAAATTTGTGATCAACATCGGTAGGAGTAGTAGGAGTAACTGTAGCTCCTGTAATAGGAGTATTAGGACTCATTGCAACATCAAAAGTTGGGATTTGTCATTCATAATCAGAGGAGGAAGCCATTTGATTGAAGAATTAAAGAGCAAAAGCGAGTATTAAAGAGTATTAGAGAGAAGTATATGAGTTTTTGATGAGAAAAAAGAAAAATAAATAAAAACTCCCTCTATTTATAGAGTCAGCCCCCTAGCCAAATGACCAAAATACCCTTAATTTTTGACCGTTTTTGGGAGTATTTTGGTCAAAAGCCCAAAAATAGCCGTTATGGCCGTTGGAACGGGCCGGCCCGGTCCGAACGGCCAACTGTCACGAACGTTGGCGTCCCCACCGAGTCCAGGCCCGGACCCGGTAACTCCGGCCCGACCTTTTTGCTGGCCGGGCCGAGCTAAGTCTGGTGTGGGTGCTGACGAAGCGGTCTGGGCACACGCTCGGAGCCCTGTTAGGCCCATATTTTCGGACCATGCCCGGGTCTGACCGGCTCCGGGTCTGACCGGCTCCGGCCTGGACCCTGACCTTGGGCCCAAATGGACAACCCTGCAATCTTTGGATTAATAATCATCCTCAAAAACCCAAAATTAGAAGGATATATATGTAAACATCACCATCTCCCACTATAAATAAATCCCCCCTCTATTTCGTATCTTCGAACCAAACCCTACAAACAGTCTTCATCAACGAAGCGGCCGCCTTTAGGGTTTCTTCACTCATATTCAACCTCGAGCGATGTTAAGAACCAAAAACCCCTGGATCTCGTTCAGATTCCTTGTCGTCTATTTATCGAGGATCTGACGATTGATTGAGATTATCTCCTCTTTTTGTTATTGCAGACGTTCAAGCGTAGAAATGGTGGTCGAAACAAGCACGGCCGAGGCCACGTCAACTTCATCCGCTGCTCCAACTGCGGCAAGTGTTGCCCTAAGGTTCAACTCCTCGCAATCTAAAACCCTAATAAGTTTCGTGCTTATTTTTTTTGTTGAAATCGTTAAAGTTTTGATTTTTACATCGATCGTCGCCGTTCATTGTGACATTTAGTGTTAGATTGTGATCTCTGTATATATTGTTAACTTTTAATTAAATTTTGCAAACAGATATAGGCTATTGAATATGAAATTCACAAGTTTAAATGCGACCCAGATTATTTTGAGTTGAATTCCTTTTTGTCTCCTGATATTTGTTGGCTGCGTTTGATCTATTGGTTACTGGAAAGTCAGGTAGCTCTAATCTTCGTGTCTGTTGCCTTAAAGTTGGAATCTTTTATACATTCAGAATCTAAAGTACTGTTTGTAGAAGAGAATGATTCTTGATGTTCTCTTTTTGGATTTATTTATTGGCAATGAATCTTGTCCTAAATATCGGTGAATGTTTTATATTCATTCCTTATGAATATTATGATGAGAGCTATAAGTGAAAACATTTGCATAGAGTCTTTTAAAATTTTTATTTTTCTGTTTCATTTATATGTATTGTATATTGTGTGCAAAATGCTCCCATTAGATAGCTGACATCTGTTGCTGTATCTTATCACAGGACAAAGCCATTAAGAGGTTTATTGTGAGGAATATAGTTGAGCAAGCTGCTGTAAGGGATGTCCAGGAGGCTTGTGTCTATGATGGTATTCACATTTTTCAGCGTTTTATTAGATACGATTCTTGTTCTTTTATTCTGAAAAGTCTCATTTTAAAAAAAAGGATACACACTTCCCAAACTCTATGCCAAGATGCAGTACTGTGTTTCCTGCGCCATCCACTCTCATGTAGTTAGGGTTCGATCTCGGGAAAACAGGAGAAACCGCGAGCCACCTCAGCGCTTCAGACGCAGGGTACATCTCTTTCTTATTATATTCTTTTGCTTTTATATCAATGTTACCAATTTAAGCGTAGCCTTTTTGAGATAGGTTGTAACTATATTATGTTCATGAATATTTTGTTAAGCATACTTATAGTTTGGTATCTGCTTGGAGAATTATGCTTTGTTTGGGAGTTTAGTAAGGGAAGGAACGGAAAGTTAAATAGTGGAAAGGAAAGGTAGGGAATGAAAGTGAAAAGATAAAATGTTGTTTGAGAGTTTAGTAAGGGGAACGGAAGTAAATTTGTTTTATCTTGTTTGGGAGTTCTAATAAAGAGGAGGGAAGTGAGGTTAATATGTATAAAGTTACATAAATACCCTTACATATTGGATAAGAGTATATCTTAGCTATTGATTTTAAGGTCATAAGGGTATAACTGTCTTATCAATATTGTAAAATATTAGATTGGTTTCCATTCCATTCTCTACCCCCAAATTGGAGGGGAGAAAAATGGAAGGAAATTTAACCTTCCATTCCATCCTCTTAACTCCTCAAAAAAACTCCGAAACAAGGTGAAATTGAAAATTCACTTTAACTTCCATCCATTAACCTCCATCCAAACAAGGTGTCAAGGTAAGAATTTTTAACCTAAGAAGTCTATGATATTATTGGTAAAGCTTTATCATTTTTGTGAAAAGTTCATTATGATTAGGTTTTTTCTAGTCACAACCTTTGGGCATAAGCAGATTAGACTATTTATATGATTGAATCATTCTGACATAAACAGCCATAAACATTACCAAACCAATCCATTAATGTCAAAGATGAATTGTGCATGGATAAAATTAGCCTCAAGTTTTCGCTAAATAGAGTTCATTGCATGCTGGAGTAAGTCGGAGCTAGAAGACAGGTTTTAGTTGAGTGAGATTTATATAGACATTTTTTTCCTATTAAAATTATGGTAGATGAAAAGCTGCATGGTGCTTATGCATCTTGGGTATTGATTCTTCAGTTGGGTTTGATGGGCTTCTATGGTTTCAGTTTAAACATTGATTGTGGAGTTCTTTATCACATATGTATTGTAATCTTCGCTTTTCATAGGCGTTACGTTCATTGGAATGTTTTTTCACCATGGACGTGTCAAGGAAAGCGTAAATCAACACATTATGCAATGCAGGGTTTCTTAGTTGATGACTAATGTTTCATATTGTCTTCAGACTCCTGCTTGCAGTCATTTATTCATCATAGACATGAAATTTTAGTATTTGAAATTTTATATTAGCTTTACAAGTTTTCTTTTTTGGATTTTCTTTAAGTTGATGCTTGGTATTCTCATCCTCAAATATCAGCATGCTTGAGGCTGATACTTGTTCTCAAGTAATGTTTTTTACAGTTTATTCAGAAATTATTCTTTCAAGAGGGAGTTCTATTCTATAACATTTACCTTTGCTCCTCTGAAGCGCGAAGCAATAACTACCGTCTACTGTATCATTTTTTGTTCTTTTTTTTTTGCTTGAATTTCTTTTTGTGATCACATCAAGTTTCAATCTTGTCTGCTATATGCCTTACATTTCTACTTTGTTTCTTTGTCACATATTGGGTATGGATGGGGTAATAAAGGCTCGTAACTGCTATGATCTGGGACTGGATGTCTGTCCCATTGGCTTTTTTTGCCATGCCTTTGGGATGAACTGGTCCCAATAGAAAATACCATCTGCTTCACTTTGCTAGCTAATTTATTTTACTTTTAGCTAGCCATTAAAGGTGGGATATGGTTATTATCATTTGCAATGTCTGTTGTTGAGGGGGAAAAGAATTTTAGACTAGGTTTTTTATGAGAAACTAGAGCTCATGTAATTGGAAAAGCTCATGTTATTATCACATCAAGTTTCAATTTATTTTACTTTTAGCTAGCCATTAAAGGTGGGATATCGTTCCTTCAGAAATTATTTCATTGTTCTATGTTCATGATGATTTGTGTCCTTTGATTGCTATCAAGATGGTACTAGCTAGAGGTATCACTGTGATGCTAATATGTGTTCCTTTTGCTATGCAGGAGGAAACAGGAAGGCCTGGTCAAGCTCCACGCCCAGCTGGAGCACCGACTGCAGCTCGCGCTTGATTCATTCTTATTTCCAATGCTTTCGAGTCCTGTTGTTTTGCCTTCCTATTGAGAGAGTATTTTTGAGAACCAGAATTTCACCCAAGTCAAAATGTTGTGTGGACCTTTGTGCAGCTTTATTTTAGTATGTGAACTAAAGCAAGAGTTCTGTAGTTATATCATCATTGACAAAAATCATTCTGCTTATTTTCCCACGGTTTAATACTTTATGATTGTGGAAGTATGTTTATGTGCGTAGAGAGCTCTTTCTGTTGAGCTATTATCTCCCTGTCGATGAGTTAATTCAAATTATAAGCTATATCTTCATTCTGTACTGATTCTGTCATGCTTTATTTTGTAATTGTATATAGCTTGATTGTGTGATTGTCCAGATCATAAAGCCGGGGTTCAGCTGCTCTCGTGGTTTATTAATTGTGGCTGTTCAAAATATGTAGTAAACAAGGGTGCAAAACAATATATGTATTTACGGATATATTCATAATAATTTCTGTTAGTATACGGGTATGGTTATTTAAATATGTAACTCTTATGACTAATAGAATATGATTATGGATATGATATGATAACAGACGTGATTATGTAGTGAAATTTGGATTCCTATCTAAATATTCAAATATGTGTTGTCATGTTGATTATATAATTGTTTTTATTTTTAGATTAAAGAATTTGAGACTAATTTTGATGATTAAGAGATCCAATTTTAACTTTTCTAATGTAACATACATATTATTAATAATCTCTCTTGTATTATATGAATTAAAAGTGAATCTAAGGTGACACCCTAGGCTCTCACCTAAGGACGCGACCTAAAATCACATCATTCCCTAATTTTTTTTTGCGATCCGCTTCGTTGAACTTGATTTACATGTTCTTAAACCTAAACACACCAATTTTGGGGTGAACCCGTCGTGTTTTGACCCTTCATTCACTCGCCGCAATTTTAACGGTTTCGAACGAATAGAACTTTTTGGACGACTCAACGAATGGTCAAAACACGACGGGTTCATCCCAAAATTAGTGTGTTTGAGTTTAAGAACGTATAGATTAAGTTCAACGGAGCGGATCGTAAAAAAATATTAGAGAATGATGTGATTTTAGACCGTGTCCTTAGGTGGGAGCCTATGGTGTCACCTTAGATTCACTTTTCCCTTTATATTATTTCATTTTCAATATTCATTTAATATATATATTTTATATTATATTATTTTCTAATAGTCATTTTGTATCCCCATGTATATCTATATATATGTCTGTATGTATATTCGTATCCATACACGATTTTAGCGGATATAAGATTTCCTCATTGAAACATCCTTATTTGTATTCTTATTTGTGATTGACAGGTGGATATAGATATGCTAAGGTGGATATAGATATGCTAAGTATAATATGCGAGCTGTATCCGGACCGCTTGCACCCTACTAGTAAATCTTGTTGACGACCAGAATTTTTTCAGTGCTCTGGTCCTATTGGTGCAATCTCCCGTCAAGCACTGCAGAATGTTTTCAATAATCTCATATTTTTCTTTAGTTCAAGTCGTTTTCAGTAGCTGGTTGTAGGAATCTATTTCATACAAGCGTTTCACATGCATAGATGATTGACATTGAACTTTAACCCAGTAGTTGTTTAGCATCTCCATAGTAGTATGCCGTGACCTAGACTACTTATGTACACTTTTTGACTCCGCGAGACAAATCTTTCATCCTTTTTTTTAATCACTTTTGGCGCACACGGAAGTTGAACCTTAGGCCTCCCACAAGGAAGTAACATGACTTTGCCATGTGACATATTGAGTCGCCCCAAAACAAATCTCTCCTTAACCACATGAAATTCTTTTATTAAGTTGATTATCAACACCCGGTTTGATTAGGGAAGGGAGGTGAAAAAATTCAACTCGTTTGGGAGGTTTTGAAAAATGGAGGGGAAGGTAGGTGAAAATATTAATTTAGATTATCTTTCAATTCTATATGATTTGATATCCCCAAACGGAGTACGATGATAGTAAGAAGTTTTGTGAACCATTAAAGCAAGTCCAGCAAGCTCTCAGTTGGGAGTCCTAGTCAGCAAGCTCTTAAGAGCTCTCAAGCATTTTGGAATAAAAAAATTAAAAAAAATAAGCCTTGGGAGACCCTTCTTATTTTATGGAGCTCCAACAAGCTTCTAGTTAGGAGCTCCAACAACATCAAAAAAACCCTCTTCTATTTTAAATTTTTTACCCATTACTTTCAATTATATTTAAACCTCTTTTATTTCATTTCTAACCGTTGCATACGGCCTTCGAGGGAGCGCACACGGTCTTCGAGGTAGCCACAGTCTTCGAGGGAACGCACACGGTCTTCGAGGTAACCCACGGTCTTCGAGGTTGGGCACGAAGTTCGAGGTATCGCAAACTTTGACCGTCAACCGACTGATTCCTATAAAATTCGATGCCTTCTCACCTCAACTCATCATCTCCCAGAACAAAATGTCTAGCTCATCTAGCTCTAGCGATGATGAAATGATGAAGACGTTCTTTCTTATGGGAGCTGCTGTCGTCGATGAAGAAGAACAAGAGAAATGTTCAACTTCAGTTCAACACAAAAGACGTATCGTGCTCCATCGAAACCGACTAGAAGGCCACAATCGGTTGTTCCAAGATTATTTTGCTCATCTAGCTCTAGCGATGATGAAATGATGAAGACGTTCTTTCTTATGAGAGCTGCTGTCGTCGATGAAGAAGAACAAGAGAAATGTTCAACTTCAGTTCAACACAAAAGACGTATCGTGCTCCATCGAAACCGACTGGAAGGCCACAATCGGTTGTTCCAAGATTATTTTGCTAACGCACCAACCTATCCTCTTCATTATTTTCGTCGAAGATTCAGAATGACGCGTTCGTTATTCCTTCGAATCCACGACGTAGTCGTCGAACATAACAAGTACTTCATCCAAAAGAGGAATGATGCTGGACGGTTGGGACTATCTAGCCTTCAAAAGATTACTGCAGCTATAAGGATGCTCGCATATGAAGCATCCGCTGACTCCGTTGACGACTACGTTCGGATCGGTAAAAGTACGTCGCTTGAGAATGTGAAGAGGTTCGTTCGATCGATTATCAACATCTTTGGGGAGGAATACCTTCGTTTACCGACTAATGAAGATGTTGCACGCCTGCTCGAGGAAGGTTCACAACGAGGTTTTCCTGGTATGCTTAGGAGCATCTCTTGGCCTTCTTGTTTTGATGATGTTTAACAAATAATTTTCTCTAGTTATTCTTCCGACGATCAAGTCAGTATTTTGACATTGAGTGGGGAAATGAGACAAGTTATATAGGTAGTTATTCAAAGTTGCCAAAAAGCCGAAGAAGTTACCCCATGCAGCATAGCTTTATTTTATAGCAGATCAGAGGGATATGAAGGTAACTTTGTCCAAGTCCAGTTAGGCTACTGAGTCAGTAGATACCTTCTAGGTGTCAGCAGTCAGCAGATACCTTCTAGGTGTTAGCCGTGGAAGAAAGTGAGTTATCTGGTTATTTAATAAGGGAATGATAGCAGGTGCTTGGAGCTGACTGGGTCCGATGATCCATAAAAACTACGGATGCTAGAGTAACGATAATTTTGTCAGAGCAGTTAATGCGAGAGCAGTCAGTTAGTGAGGGGTTCGATGTAACTATTGCCTTTCTTTTAGTTTGGTCAAGGACCGAGAAGCATCGCCTTTTGACTCGGCTTCATAAGTTATCAGCTGACATCATAGGCCGAGTTCGAGTTGTTCCTAGGGTCGGTCAGGTGAGGTGGCCGGCAAGTACCGTCTTTTTACTCTGTAACGCAAGTTGTCGGCCCAGAGGGTCGGTTGTAGGAGTAGTTTAAGTCATATAGACCCCAATTCATCTGAGTAGGCAAGAGGTGAGACACATGTTTGCTCCTCTAGAGAGATTAGTATTTGTTGATTTTCTAGGCTATAACAAAATAACTTAAACATAACAGGAAGTGAATTAGAATTATGATAATATAAATTGATTTTCACAGCAAACGATTTACACTTAACATGATATTAATCATACTTAATATGAAATTTCTTATACTTCAACATGAATTTACTTGAAATAACTTTTTAACATTAAGTTACTTATACTTCAACATTAATTCTATTATACTTCACAGTAAATGACCTATAATTAACAAGAAAATTACTTGTATTTTACATGAGATGACTTATATTTTACCTAATTCTAGGAAATAACACGTCTGCCCAGTTCTCTGGAGTGTAGTTAATGATAATATTATATGTCCTTTCGTTTATCAGTTTAATATCATCCATATAATTATTCTATTTTGCTTTAGTATACTCGTAACAAGCTAATTGTAATATATTCTCCAAAACCTGAGTATCCTTCGACTTTAGTCCCAAATCCTTTAGTTTTAATCTGAAATTCTCTTTGAAATGTAGAACACATCTGGATTGTAGAGCATCTAGAAAAAAAAAAATTCTCTAACAGCTTCTATAATTCCCTTAACCCCATCTACTATTATAAGTAGTTGATGTGGATGATTGTATGGATCTGACCTTTCATAGAGTATAGACCATAAACCTTATAAGAACCACTTCCAGTTAATGTTATTATCCTGATCGCATATGCAATAGGCTAGTGAAAATATTCATTGATTTCCATTATATGCTACAATGTTGAGAAGTATATCTTTGAGTCGATCTTTCTTCCAGAAATATATGTGGTCGACATCCATGCAAAAACCCATTTATGCATGTAGCATAGCAAATAAATAGTATTGTAAACCTTCTCTCACTTTGTTCAACATGAATATAGCTGTCTAGATTTGTTTCATTAACTTTGTCCTACAATTTAGAAAATTTAAAAATAAACGTTGAAGTTAACAAGAACCAAATTAGACTTAATAGTAGTTACATCACAATTAAGGACTTAAACTTAACAGAAATAGTTTAGACTTAATATGATATTGCTTAATCTTCACATCAAATGTTTTGCATTTAACATGAAATAAATAGACATAGCATGTAATTACTTATACTTCATACATGAAATTACTTGAAATAACTCATAATTTAACATGAAATTACTCATACTTCAACATGAATTGGCTTATACTTCAAATTAAAAGAACTCACATAAAATACTTAACTATTAAAACTTAAAAAACTAAATGTTTTTTGCACTTCAGTAGGGAAGATAGTATCTTATACTATCATAATTGATCATAGGCCTCATAAGCATCACAACATAATTATTCTTGTGCTCTTTCTTTACTCCATCATATCTTACTATACTCGACCCTTAGCCCATACTAACTTAGAAACTCTTTTCACAAATTAATAGGGCATATGTCCAGCAAGACCTTCAACATGGGTTATAATTGGGTTGCAATGAATTTTCAGGAGGCCTTTGAACGGCCGACATTATTACCATGCTGCCTACAAGTGTGATTGGTCACAAACTTTTTTTATAGCAAATCTAGTTTCAATTCTAGGTGGAGAGACAAATAACATTCACGGGCAACTTTTCGTTTTCTTAAATAGGCAAAAAAACTCAAATACCCTTTGGTTCATTCTTTTCAAATTTGTACTCAAACATTTTGACCATTGAATAATAGAGCAAAGCTAATCTTAATTCTTTCGCATTGTCAAACAATTGTCTCTCTTCAATTAAACCAGTGTCCCACCAAGCAAGAATCCTCTATGAATTTCTAATCATGTAATCATCATAACATTGTTCCTAGATGGATTATTATTAGGAATACTATCCGAAACACATGTTGATGTCGACAGACCATAATCTTTATTTTTTTTGAGTTCAAAGTGGGGGCAACGTTGCAAATGTTTAGAAAATAATCAGAAAATAAAATCAACAACAAATAATAAAAACTAAACAAGATTTAACATCGAACCAATTTGAATCAACAAACTAGACTTAACAGCGAACCAATTTGAATTAACAAACTAGACTTAACATTTAACTTATTAGACTAGACAATCTTCCAATTACACTTAACATTCAACTTATTAGACTTGACATTCCTCTCATTAGAGTTAACATTCAATAGATTAAACATAATATTCGTTTCATTAGAATTAATATTCAACAAATTAGATTTAATATTATTTGTATTACAATTAAAATGGTTTTCATTAGACTAAAACATCTTCCAATTAGGCTTAACATTGAACCGATTAGACTTAGTATTTAACTCTATAGACCTAACATTCAACCAATTAGAATTAATATCACACTAATTAGACTTAACATACAACGCATTAGACTTAACATGTAACAACTTACACTTAACATTCAACAAATTAGACTTTACATATAATCTATTGCACTTAACATTCCACCTTAGACTTATTATTTAACCAAATAGACTAAACATACAAGCTCTTAGACTTAACTTCTAACTCATTAGACTTAACATCATACCTATTGAACTTAACATCAAAAATTGTCAAATAGAACTCACACTTGCTGGAATTTATTTCAAATTTCATCTTTCCACAATGTTCAAACAGAATTTATAAATTTTCTTTGAAAAAACTAATAACTTACCGGTCTTGTGGAACTTGTTGGTTGTTATGGAAAGTCGAATCATCTGCTTTTTGAATAGTTTTCATATGAATCTCTTTAAACTTAACATTGCTACTATGCTCCACCATAGACGACAAATCATTTTCGTTCTCAATCACAAAACTAAAGTTGTCGTTTGTTTACCTTTGTATGCCAACGATAAAGAATCATATGAAATTTTTAATCTTTCTGCACATCAAATTTCAGTTCCATCATGGTGATTGAAGAGTTAATCTTTAAGAAAACTGCTTTATCATCTGAGGAGACCATGTAGATGATAACCTTCTCAGCAATTAATGAAGGGAAGGTAGAAGGAGTAATGGAAAGAATTTTATGACAATATGAGTATTCATAGTTGAAGAGCAAAAACCTAAAAAAATACATAAAAAGTTATTGCTCATGATAGAAAAAATGAGGGAAAATTTTCCTCCAATTCCACTATCAGATCGCCATTAATAGGACGCGATAAATTTGTTATGTAAGTATAGTTGTGGGGCCCTGCCTCATCGGGAAGGAGAATGACATTTTAGGCTTTATGAGGAAATACATTACATTTTCTCTATAAGGCTAATATGGAGGGACCCAAATACATTAATTAGATTTTTTTTTGGTCTGATCCACAATGGAAAAAAGTTGGAGGGGCTGGTCACATGGGTTTTTTCATATTGGGACATTGACACAATTTTCCCATAATTTTAACTAACATTTACCAATTAATCTAATTTTGACGCGTCATCTTCATATTACACTTTCAACAATAAATTCGTTTTTCAAACAAATATTGTATTCCACTTGCATGCTCACATGCATGTGAAAATTATTTAAAAAAAAAAAATTTACACAATTTCAATTCACTTTTGAACAACCAAACACCCTCATCGAGTGGCATATTTTTATAATCATAATTAGATGCATTTAGCATAAAGCGGATACCATAATATAAATTTAGAAAGCATATCTAGATTTCTTAATAAAATCTCATATACATTTTTTTTCGAAGTTTTACTTTTCAATTCTATCAAAAAATAAATTTACAAAGAAATCATTTCTTCAAGGAAAAAAGTTACAAAAATAAGTTTTACAAAAATCTCGTGAATTGGGCCGGAACTGCAAATTACGGAGAAAAAAAGTTCAATATCTTGTATGAGGAAGTATATCTTGAAGAATCCTCATCTTGCTGCATGCAGAGAGTCAAAATTGGGAGTAAAATCTTCTGGAATACCAGCGCGTGAGAGCAGTTTATATGGTAACATCAAGAGTTACCTCCAAATCCATCCCCCCTCCCTCTCTCTCCTCCTCCTCTTTAATTCTTTACTAATTTCCCCAAATTTGAAACCAAAAAAATAAAATAAGAACAGCTCTTTTTTCTTTGCTCTCTTGCCTTGTCTCATAACCCCCACTAAAAACATCAATCACCTCATTTCTGATCGACCCAGATCAAATTCTCCCCTAATACCCTTTTCAACTAAACTTGGGGCCGACCCAGATGGAATTTGTCATTGAGGCCCTGTGAATTTTATTGTGTTTTGCGGAATTTTGGGGAATTGATTAGTATGGGACACTTGCAGTCTTGGCTGCCTAATGAAAATGGGTTATTGGCAGATTTCAATCCGCCAACGCCACGGCTGGCGTTTCTGCAGACGAGCCCTCCGCCGTCGGAGATCAGAGAGGACAGCTGGCGGGCGGCGGAGAGAGAAACGCAGGGAGTGATTGAGGAGATCCAGGCGACGGTTGTCTCGGAGCGGCGGAGACAAGAAGTTGTGGAGTATGTTCAGAATTTGATCAGATTCCAACTCAATTGTGAGGTAAAGATTTGATCTTTGTTTCCGTTTCGATTGTTTGTACATGCTTATGTTCATAGTAGCTTTAATTTTTCTCAGTCCAGGATGCAATTTTAGTTTTTGATGAGTTGGCATTACTTAATTTCAATTCTTGAGACATTGTGACAATTTTTGTAATTATGCTTGTTGGTTAATATGTATATAAAATCTGTATATATTTGGAAAAATCTTGGACTCTGCTAATTTTTTTTGTTTAATATATATATTTTTCTGGGCAAGAAAGAAATTGTTTGTTTTGTTGGTCATATACCATCTCAATTGTGAAGTAAAGTTATGATCTTAGTTTCAGTGACGATTCTTTTATCTGTTAATGCTCATACTACATTCAATGTTACAAGTCAGGATGCATTTTTAGTTAGTGATTTGTGAGCATACTTACTTTCAGTTCTGGATTTATTGTGAGAATTGCTATAATTTTGCTTTTTGGTTACTATGTATACAAACTCTGTAGCTACATGGAAATCTTGGACTTTACTCATTGTCTTGTTTAATGAATTTTTTTTCCCGGTAACATACAAATTGTTTGTTTGGTTGATCAGTACCATCTCAACCCTCAGGTAAAGATTTGATCTTTGTTCCGTTTTTCATTGTTTATATATGTTTATGTTCATAGTAGATTCATTTTTGCTTAGGTGGGGATGCACTATTAGATTGTGATAAGTTAGCATTACTTGCTTTCAGTTCTTGAGGTACTGTGATAATTCTTTTTGTATTTAAAGGTTGTAATTTGATCATTAGTAGTTTCCTTTTCTCGTAAGTTTAATGGTTTTGATCTGCCACTACTGTCTTGTTTCAGTATTTAGTTTGTGATTCAATATTGGGATAGTCACATTTAAATATTTATTCTGTTTTGGAGCATGCTCAACTAATTTATAGTGCGTTTATAATTTTCCTACTTATTAGCGTACATTTCTTGTTATATTTTGTTTGATTCAGTGATATATCTATCAATTGAATTCTTTTGAATGCTGTAAATTTACACAATTAGGGGGTGTTTGGTTGCATTATTTTTGAGAAATGTTTTCTCAAAAGTACTGACGCATGGCATTTATGTAATTAAGAGTTTTCTATACATTTCTATAAACTGTGTTTGGCTCCAAAAAAATTTACAGAAATATTTTCTGTAAAGTGCCCAAAAGTACCAAATTTTATGGAAATTGATTTCCTTCTAAAATGGGAGGAAATCTCTTGGAAATCTGACGCATTCATTATTTAAATAATAAAACTCATTAACTCTTTTCTACAAAGTTCTCACTTTTCTATAAAGTTGGTGGTGTTTGGTTACATTTCTATAAATTATAGGAAATGTTGCTATTTTCCCAAAAGTTATTTCTCATTTTCTTGTTTTGAACCAAACAAGCACATACAAAAAATAAGAAAATTTGTACTTTTTAACTTCTCAAAACTTTTCCTATAATTTTTTTAAGAAATACAAGGAAATCAAATTTGGGATGGAAAACATTTCCTATAATTTATAGAAATGTAACCAAACACCCCCTTAGTATCTAATATGCTTGAAAAGGATTAAAGAGGAGGGTTCTCCTTTATGTCAGTAGCTTTTCACAATTGTCAAATCACTGTCAAAAATAGATTTATCTAGGTTTAAACTTTTCTCCTGTAAAGTAAAACCATAACAATTTGGACACATGTTATGTGCATCTGCTTGCATTACATGTATTCACAATTCATTTTAAAGCTTACACTATATATATATATATTTACACAATTTTTTTGTTATTCAAAACATAACAGGTTTTCCCATTTGGTTCTGTACCACTGAAAACATATCTTCCTGATGGTGATATAGATCTTACTGCGCTTGGCCTTCCGAATTCTGAGGATGCATTGGCTCATAGTGTATGTCAAGTCTTGGAAATGCAAGAACAACATAATGGTTCAGAGTTTGAAGTGAAGGATGTGCAATATATTCATGCAGAGGTTCTTTTTCTTTTTATACAACACTTCCTCAGTTCAATAAAAAAAATTAGTTATAAGCTTCTCTTTCAGTGCCTTGTTATATGCTTTCAGTTGTCTATGCAATTTTTCCTGGCACAAATTAGTACATAGTACATATCTGTATTTTTCTTCATTGCCAAGTTTCTGTTGGTAATGTAATACCAGTAGGAACCAAAATGTTTATCATGGACTTTGAAGTTTGTTAGCATCAACAGTGCGATTTTTCCTTGACCCATTTGTCAAAGACTATATATAAATTTTCTCTTGTATCAGTAGGTGGCAAAAAACTTGGGTCTGTTCAGGGAAAACTGTATATCTGGCATCTTTTCACCATGTTGTAGTTTGCATATGTTCTTTCCTCAATGTCTACTTTGGTAATGTCAAAGCAATGAAGCATATGTCTAGTTTAAGAGCTCATGACTGTTGAAAGCTTTTTGTTACCAAGTTTTCATGGCAATGTGTGTCTGTATCTGAACATAGTCAATGTTTACATGCTATGGTGTTAAATTTGTTTGTAAATATATCAATTATGTTTTGAAGTAAATTACTTGATAATTCATAAACTGCCTAATTGTCCTATACAACTGTTTGCACTTGGTTCTTATTATAATACTAGTTGATTGGAAAAAAGTATTATTACCTAAAATTCATTGATTTCATTTTTTTTTCAAGGTTAAACTTGTCAAATGCCTCATTCAGAATATTGTAGTTGATATCTCATTCAATCAGAGCGGTGGACTTTCTACGCTATGTTTCCTTGAACAGGTTTGTTGACTAGAGCTTCCCTTGCTATATTCTGAAAATGTTCTCATGATTTTTTCCTCTGTGGTCATAAGCATTTCATTAGCCATTGATCCATAAGAACTCTGTTATACCTCTAGGTAGACCGTCTGATTGGCAAAGATCATCTCTTCAAGCGCAGTATTATTTTAATCAAAGCCTGGTGCTATTATGAGAGTCGTATTCTCGGTGCTCATCATGGTCTCATTTCTACTTATGCATTGGAAACGTTGGTGTTGTATATCTTCCATCTCTTCCATACATCTTTAGATGGCCCTTTAGCGGTGAGTGCTTCGTTTGAATCATATTGCAGTTGTCTATATTGTTTTTAGCTTTTAAAAGACTTAGAAATACATCTCCTTTCTTATAGGTTCTGTACAGGTTTTTAGACTATTACAGCAAGTTTGACTGGGATAAGTATTGTATTAGTCTATGTGGTCCAATCTTGTTGTCATCTCTACCGGAACTTGTGGGTGAGTTATTATAAAATTATACCCAAATTTGATTCGATTTTGTTGTTATCTGAAAAATTGCTCATTCTTTCTGTCTGATAATTGATTTTTTTTAATGTTCTCAGCTGAAGCACCAGAAAATAATGAGGGTGATCTATTGTTCACAAAAGAATTTCTCAATAACTGTGTAGATGATTTCTCTGTTCTCCCAAGAGGCTATGAAAACATCTCTAGAACTTTTCCACTAAAACATCTGAACATAGTGGATCCACTGAAGGAGAACAACAATTTGGGGCGAAGCGTCAGTAGAGGTTACTCTTTTCCAAATAACAAATGGCCTGATTCATTATAAAACGAAATGGCATGATTTTTGTTGAATTCTACTTAACCAAATTCAATATTTATTTCTAGGTAACTTCTACCGAATACGTAGTGCTTTTAGCTATGGTGCTAGAAAGCTTGGACATATACTTCTACTGCCTTCTGAAAGCATTGCAGCTGAGATCATTTCGTTCTTTGCAAACACACTCGATAGACATGGAAGTGGAGAAAGGGCAAATGTGCAAGATTCACTCCCTAATGATTCTAGTTCCCCATCTTCAGAACTACTACACCCCGATGCCAATGAAGAACTCTGTTACGAGATGAATGCTGTCAAACTTTCAGGCTCGGGTATGCAGAATGGCAGTAAAGACTCTGGTCCTAGTAACATTGAAGGAACAGACAAACATCTGATTTCAACTAGTGAGAGTAATAAATTGCCAAATAGAAGATCTTTTCATGTTCCACACCCTCTCTTTCTTTCCAAAAATGGGTATCATAGGGAGAATGATTCCTCCATTAGCCCTTTACCTTCCAATGAGGAAGTTAATGTTTACCCACAAGCAGACTCCATTGAGAGCGAGTCAACAACAAGTGATACACTCTGGCTTAGTCCTCATAGGGCTCTTGCATCAAGTTGGAACACTGAACAGTTAGGTAGTTCACAAGCAGGAGGCAGTTCATTGGCAGGGTCTGAAAGAAATGGGGCCAGTTCGAAGTCAAAAAAATTGGCAGATCTTTCTGCAGACTTTGACTTGCACATTAGAAACCTTTTATATGTTCAATGGAGCCAAGAGTATATTCTGAGTACTCTCTTACCAATTTACAGTCAGGCGCCTTACCAGTATCACAACAAAAACTCTTGGGATCACCCTCCAAGAGGCGGTGCTTATTCACCGACGTCATCTTTTGTTCCTGGTGCTTATAGCATAGAAGATTTGCCAAAGCCTCGGGGGACAGGCACTTATTTTCCCAATATGGTATGTTCCATTTGATATGATTATGTTTTGGAAAGTTTGAGTAATCTTTTTGACTTATTTTTGTGCAGAGGAAATTGGGTAAGTTTGGGGTTTACCTGCCCTATTTTGACTAGAATTAGACATTCTTGCTTTCATTTTAGGTCTACTGCACTGAATACATCCACCTGTACCGAATTTTAAATCTTTGAAATTGCTCATAAAGTCCCTTAAATCATAAGAGGGCTTGCAATTTTGTTCCTCAATAATCAAAAAATACACCTCACTTTATGTCCCTCCCCCACCTCCTACCCCCACAAGGGGGGGGGGGGCCCCCCCCCCCCCCAAAGGGGGGGGGGGTGCATCTGTGTTAAAATAAACATTAACTGAAGGCTATTCTGATCATTGAGGAACCAAATTGCAAGACACTGAGCAATTTCAAATATTTGAGGGATGAATATGGAATTATTGAAGATTTGAGGGACTAATATCTAAATTACCCTTTTAGGGGCTGTTTGGTTGGTTTCCTAAAAACCAAGAAAAGGAAACCGGTACAAGGAAATCAATAAAATAATATTTTTATCCATTTCCATCCCTAAAACTCACCCACAATATCCAATAAAATATTATTTTTATCCTCCAACTCATCTCATTTCATCTCCTTTCTTACCTTTAAAAATAAACCAAACACAAGAAATGTGTCACATCATCCAACTCATCACATCTCATTTTATCTCATTTTTAAAAATCACACACATCATCCAATAATATTATGACAACTCATCTCATCTCATTAAACATTCCTTTCTATCCATTTCCTCAAAAAAAAAACAAGAAATCAATTTTCTTAAGTACGTGTCACATCATCCAATAATATACCTCCAACTCATCTCATCTCATCTATTTTCTTATTTTTAAAAACGAACCAAACACAAACAACCTCAAAACATCATTCAATAATATACCTCCAATTCATTTCCTTATTTTTTTAACCAACCAAACAACCTCAAAATAAGTTTTTTAAAAAATCACTCACATCATCCAATAATAAGGTGACAACTCATCTCATCTCATCTCCTATTCTATAATTTCCTTCTTTTTTAAGCCAACCAAACAACTTCAAAATAATTATAATAGGAAATAGGTTTCCTATTTCTTGATTTCCCAGTTTTTTTTTCCAAACGAACAGCCCCTAAGTTTATGAGGTTTCTTCCTTCTCATTTACTAATCCCAATGACCTTATTCTATATGGGACATCTTAAATAAAAAAACATTTTCCATTCCTGGGTTTTGTAGAACTATCATAATACATACAAGGAACGACATTCACCAAGGAAAGGAAAAAGTTCGGGCCTTTCCAACCAGTTCTCAAGACATCGTAGTAATCCCCGAGCCGAGATCTCCATAAATGGTAACCTTGAGGAGAGATGTGAAATCCCAGTTTTTGGTGGAAGTGGACGTGGCAAGGGAGCTCTTCCAGATGCATTTAACTCCTCAAAGAATTCCTCGAAAGAGACTTCCCCTGCAAATTCTTTTGCTTTTCCAGCTGAAGGGGGACTTAATTTTGGATCCTTTGGTCCTGTTCCATTGGAGCCAGCCTCTCCAGAGTCAATTAGAAGGTTAGATCCCATCAACCCTCCCAGTCAGGACTTGGGGCTAACAATCTCTGCATCTTCAGTGCAAAGAAATTCGCCAAGTTCAAATCATGAAAGGTAAGTATAATTATATCCTTTTTGAAAGTTTTCATTAGAAGCTTTTGATTTTGTTTCACATAATTAGTTCATCAAACTATTTTTATTACAATATTTCCATTAAATTTACTATATTAAATTACTGTTCTCAACTACATGATCTGTTTGTGAAGGATGGCTTGCTGAGGGAAAGAAATTTGGTTTCTTAGTGATAAGCTGACACTTAGACGAGGATCTAAGCTTGTAATGAAATGAAGAGTGTGCGTGCGTGTGTGTATGTATGTATGTACGCATACATACACACATACATACAATTAGTCAAACATTTCAGCAATTAACTATATCTTGAGTGAGATTTCTTTGATGTCGGGGTCATATTCCGACCTTGTAATTGTGTCCTTTCCTCAAGATGCCACTTGGTAATTTCCCAACTATGCGGCCCTTCTCTTTTAATCAGCTGACCCATATCAATTAGTATTGATTATTGGGTTAATTGCAAGGTTGACCCCCTGTACTATCGTGCAACTGCGGATAGACACCATATAGTTCATAGAGACACCTATACTATTGCCCAATTGCGGATAAACCCTCTGAATGAATTTTTTGACTCTTTTAATCTCAAGAGGTCTATTTGTTCATGTTAGCCGAAAGCACAGCCCACCTATTTTGACAAATCAAAGTTGGTGGCCAACTTTGTTTGAAAAATGAGAAAAGGTAGCGGGTCCCACAATTATTTATTATTAGTGGCGGGTCCCACTAATAATATTTTATTTGTGCATAGTGTTTCTCAAACACTATAAATAGGGTCCTAAACTCAATCTCATCCCAGAACAACTCCTCTTATAGAAGAGTAAGAGAAAACAAAGAGAGAGTTTGTGAGAGTTCTTGGAGTGTATCTGACAAAGAGAGAGTTTGTGAGAGTTCTTGGAGTGTATCTGATCAAGAGAGGGTGTTCTCTTGGATCAATTTTTTTGGGATATAAAAGAATTTGGCGTCGTCGTTGCACCGTGGAGTAGCTCCGAAGGAGTGAACCACGTATATCTGTGAGTACTCTGTGTTGAATTTTGTGCCTTTATTTTGTGATTAAGTCTCCGTTCGAGGCTTTATTATTAGGGTGAATCCTAACAACTGGTATCAGAGCCTGACTTAGAGTATATATATCTGCTTATCGTATGCTCTGTGGCTGTCACTAAAAGTGGATCCTGCATATCAGAAAATAAGTTAGATTAATATTTACTTTTTTAAGGCATTGGACACCATTCACGTGTACGGCACTATTCACGTGTATAGTACTATTCACGGATACGGTACTATTCACGAATACTGTACTATTCACAAATACGGGAAAGGCGTAATCTTTCGCCATGGGATCTACAGTTGAAGACAACAGACTTCGAATTGAGAAGTTCGGCGGCCAAAATTTCAGGTATTGGAGGATGCAAATAGAAGACTATTTGTACCAGAAGGATCTCTTCCTACCCCTCCAAGGAGAGGCGGGGGAAACTGAGAAGATGGACGACGATAAGTGGAAGGTACTCGATCGTAAAACACTTGCCACCATCAGGCTCAACCTTCACCAGCATGTGACTTACAACGTCTCGCATGCGACCACCACCAAGGAGTTGATGGAGGCCTTGAAGGCGCTGTATGAGAAGTCGTCTGCTTCAAATAAGGTGTACCTGATGAAGAAGCTATTCAATCTCAAGATGCAGCAAGGAGCTCGCGTGGCGGACTTCTTGAACGAATTTCAGGCTGTGGTGCAACAGCTTGCTGCAGTAGATCTAAAGTTCGACAACGAGATCCAAGCTCTTCTGTTACTTTCTTGTCTACCAGATTCATGGGAGAATATGGTAATGGCGGTGAGCAACGTTAATGGAAATGACAAGATGAAGCTCGACACAGTGGTTGAGGCAATTCTGGATGAAGAATCTCGCCGCAAAGTCTCAGGAGCTGAGGCCTCTAGCAGTGGGAGTGCTCTGCATGTCGAGGCACGAGGGCGTGCACAGAAAAAGGGTAGGGGACGACGAGGCCAATCAAAATCTAGAAGGAAGTCTAAAGGGCCTAACCCGAATGGTTACGGTGAAGGGAAGTGCTTCAGATACGGTAAGAAGGGCCACTTTGCACGGGATTGCAGAGTTACTGTTCAAGCATCAGCAGGGGATGATCGGGCTGACGGTGCAGCCAATCTCATGCACGAGACGGATTCGGATGCACTTCTCCTATCCCTAGAAGACAAAAGTGATGCGTGGGTCATCGACTCTGGCGCATCTTTTCATGTAACCTCACAACAAAAACTGCTTTCATTGTTCGTGAAGAAGGACTTGGGGACAGTCTATCTTGGCGACGATCAACCTTGTAAGGTTTCCGGAAAGAGAAATTGTACCCTCAAGATGGAGGGCGGGACCACCTTGACGCTGAATGATGTTCGGCATGTACCAGATCTCAGGCGAAATCTTATATCAGTCGGGCAACTGACTGACTCCGGTTACAGAGTATCCTTCGAGCAGAGAAGCTGGAAGGTGTCCAAGGGTGCCCTGGTGGTGGCACACAGCAAACACGAGGGATCTCTCTACATCGCCAACGGGAAGATCGACCACTTGCTTGCTGCAGGACAAGCATCATCATCATCATCCGTCGACTGCATGACTTGGCATCGACGACTTGGCCATATGAGCGAGAAGGGGATGCAAATTATGGCCGCGGGAGAGAGGCTTCCAGGTCTGAACAAGATCGATCTGACTTTCTGTGAGGACTGCATCCTAGGCAAACAAAAGAAGGTGAGCTTCAACAAGACCTGACCGGCTCCAAAACTGCAGAAATTGGAGTTGGTGCACACGACGTGTGGGGACCTGCACAAGTCCCATATGTTGGTAACTCTCTTTACTTTGTCACTTTTATTGATAATGCTACGAGAAAATTATGGGTGTTCTTCTTGAAGCACAAGTCAGATGTATTCATCATCTTCAAGAAGTGGCTTGCCTGTGTGGAGAACGAAACAGGCAATAAGCTGAAGTGCCTAAAGTCTGATAATGGAGGCGAGTATTGCAGCCAGGAGTTCGAGAACTTCTGCTCGTCCCGTGGGATTCGGAGACTGAAGACCGTCCCAGGCACACCTCAGCACAACGGAGTGGCGGAGCGCATGAATCGTACTATCTTGGAGCGCGCCAGAAGCATGAGGATCCATTCCGGATTGCCCAAGAGCTTTTGGGCCGAAGCTGTCAATACTGCTGCATACTTGATCAATCGCGGGCTATCCGCGGCTCTCAGTTATGGGATACCTGAAGAGGCTTAGACCGGAAAGAAGCTGAAGCTAGAGCACTTACGAGTATTTGGTTGTGACGCCTATGTCATGACCAATCCTGCAGACCGGTCAAAACTTGATCCAAAGTTAAAGAAGCTCTCTTTCATCGGCTATGGAGGAGATGAGTATGGGTACCGATTTTGGGATCACAATGCGCGCAAGGTGGTGCGCAGTCATGACGTCGTGTTCCATGAGAATGTTGTGTATAAGACCAAAGAGGTGAGTGGGAGTCAGCTATTTCCCCCTCTTTTCCCAGATATTGCTGACAGTGAGGACGGCGGTGAGATACCAATCAACATAGAAGACGGAGACCAAGAGAATGTGCCGGATGCACAGCAGCAGGATCCAGCAGAGTTGCCGATCGCAATTCGCAAAGCTCCAAGAAATCCAAGGGTGCCAGAGAGGTACCTTTCCACCATGAATTATCTTCTCCTGACTGACAGTGGTGAGCCAGAGAGCTATGAGGAGGTACAGCAGACTGGCAAAGCTCGGGGCGAGTGGGAGTCTGCCATGGAGGAAGAAATGAAGTCCTTGATGAAGAATGGGACTTGGGAGCTCGTAAAGCTTCCAAGAGGGAGAAAGGCTCTTCACAATCGGTGGATTTATCGGGTCAAGGATGAAGCCGATGGACGGAGATGTTACAAAGCGAGGCTTGTAGTGAAGGGCTATGAGCAGAAAGTGGGGATAGACTATTCTGACGTTTTCGCTCCCGTCGTCAAGTTGACCACGATCCGAACTGTGCTGAGCATTGTAGCAGTTTGAGATCTCCACCTAGAACAGATGGATGTGAAGACGACATTCCTTCATGGGAGGAAAGAGGCAAGGAGGGCCTCGTGTGTCGCCTGCTCAAAAGCTTGTATGGCCTGAAGCAAGCTCCGCGACAGTGGTACATGAAGTTCGAGAACTTTATGGAGGAGAACGATTTTCTCAAATGCGACACAGACCATTGCTGCTTCATCAAGAGATACGGTGAATCCTATGTGATACTCTTGATCTATGTTGATGACATGTTGATTGCAGGACCCGACTTGGCCCGCATTGAGGAACTCAAGGGGTGTCTCTCCGAGTGCTTCGAGATGAAGGATCTGGGTCCAGCAAACCAGATTCTAGGAATGAGGATCATCAGAGACAGATCAGCACGAAGGCTGAGGTTGTCTCAGAAGGCCTACATTGAGAAGATTCTTGAAAAGTTCAGCATGGAGAAAGCTAAACCAGTGGGCTCGCCGTTTGCAAGTCATTTCAAGCTATCGAAGACCCAAGCACCAGAGACTGCTGAAGAGCACGAGTTCATGGCAAACATACCATATGCATCTGTCGTCGGGAGTTTGATGTATGCGATGGTGTGCACAAGGCCAGATATTGCACAAGGAGTAGGAGTTGTGAGCCGCTTTATGAGCAATCCAGGGAAACAACACTGGGGTGCGGTCAAGTGGCTTCTACGCTACTTGAGAAGCTCGTCCGACCGTTGTCTTGAGTATGGCGGGACAGATTTACAGCTAGAGGGCTTTTGTGATGCAGACTATGCCGGAGACATAGACTCGAGAAGGAGTACGAGCGGCTACATCTTCATCTTGGGTGGTGGAGCGATAAGTTGGAGATCCAAGTTACAGGATACTGTGGCTTTGTCGACAACCGAAGCCGAGTACGTGTCTGCAGCAGAGGCAGCAAAGGAGTTGCTATGGTTGAAGGCTTTTCTTCTCGAGCTTGGAGTAAGCTTTGAGAAATACTTCATCCACTGCGACAGTCAGAGTGCCATTCACTTGTCAGAGAACGACGCATTCCATGCTCGGACCAAACATGTTGACGTGAAGCACCATGCCATACGGAGATGGCAAAGCAGGAACGAGTTCAAGCTTGTGAAGATTGATACGAGGTATAATCCAGCTGATATGCTGACCAAGCCAGTTCCGCTCGAGAAGGTGAGGCTGTGTGCAGCCTCATATGGCCTCCGTTGAGAATGTTGAGGGCCGTGCAAGACGCCAAAGATACATGACATCCGGATGATGCAACCAAGAGTGGTGTGAAGATATGATCGACATTCAATCAAATCTTCAAGTGGGAGATTGTCAGGCGCCCAACCTTTTTGACCCAGCCAACATGAAAACAAAAGTGGGGCCCACAAAGGCGGGCCCCACAAGAAGAAAAATCAAATTCGGTGGCAGCCATTGTTGAGAATTTATAAAGGATGTGGGTCCCACAAATATTTTATTATTAGTGGCGGGTCCCACAGATAATATTATATTTGTGCATAGTGTTTTCTCAAACACTATAAATAGGGCCCTAAACTCTTAAGGAAATCTCATCCCAGAAACAACTCCTCTCATAGAAGAGTAAGAGAGAAAACACAGAGAGTTTGTGAGAGTTCTTGGAGTGTATCTGATCAAGAGAGGGTGTTCTCTTGGATCAATTCTTTTGGGATATCTCCCACAAACAAAAAAAAGTTCTCTCATTCTCTGAGGGTAAAGGAGTCAAAATCACACTCAAGGGATCTATCTGCAACAATAGAACTACAAAGGATCTATCTGCAATTGGGCGATAGTATCAATCAACCCTTGATTAAATTTTAGTGTAGTTAGGGTTGTATTTGTGTATCTAATTCCATCTTTTAGTTTATTTCGAATTCTTGTTTGATTAGGAGTGAAGTTGTTTTATTTGGATCTACTATAGTTTTTTTAGTGTTATTATATTTTTGTTCGGATTAAGAATCTTAGCTCTATATCAAGTTGCGACTTTCAGAGGAATAAATATGCATTATTGTATTACTTTTTTTTCATTAGGGAGACATTGATGCATCTGAACAATTTTAAGGTAATTTGGAATTGCTTGTGATTTGCCTCTCTTGGTGTGAGATCAAACCCTAAGGTTCCTAGTTCTTTCGAGCAGCAACCTTCTCATCAACTTGCCCACAAACCCTAGCCACCAATTGCTTGCAGCATCCTGCTGTAGTTGTTGTTTTGTTATTGCAGCTGTGACCATTCCATCCAAAACCCAGCTGTTGGCTCATGATCTTGCGGCAAGCTTGTCCTGTCAAATTGCTGTTGTGATTGTTTTCTGCTAAATCCTTGCTTCATATAGATCTGACTCCGAAGGCATACAATCAAACAGTGCCTACATTTCCCGCATCCCCGTTGTAGCTTGCTATCCCTGTATTGACGATGAAAACACCAATGAAAAGTACACATTTGCATATCATATATAAATATATACCCTTGAAGATTGTAAATACTACCATGTAACTTCTGACAATTTTACTCTATCCAGCGCATTAGCCTCTTCGTATTCCCATTCCTTGTTTTTTTTTTTCCCTTTTGCTCAACGATATATTGAAATACTGTTGTGGCAACATCGGAGAAAATTAATCCTAATATTTTTCCAAAAATTGCAGGTCTGCCCAGGCCTATCAACTGAAGGATGAAGGCGACTTCCCCCCTCTAAGTGGCTGATAGAAGTTTTATAAGTTCTCTATACATAAATGAAGGTTAAACCTTTGTAGGATGAAAAGTGAAAAATAAAGAAAGCCGAAACATACTACCTCATGCAGACAGTTGAGGTATATAAAATAAAGGGCCAGTCCTTGCGGACTGTTGTGATGCATGTATCCTGATGCGTTGTTGTTTTTGTACATTCTAATAGTTGCTCTCCCCCTCACCGAACCCCATAAGATATGGGTTTATTTACAGAATCTGATGATGAGGTCTTCATCATTAAAATAAAATAAAAAATAAAAAATAAAAACCCCTCCCCTGGTGGTAAGACTTACTTTGGCTCTAGTTTACGTAGATCTTGAAGTTAATTGTGGGGGAGAAGATCAAGTAGTTTTTTATTTTGTTCCTATAATATAAATGATCATAAGAACAGTAC